CCTACAAGATCGCGTTTGCCTAAATAAAAAATGTTTCCTAATTTCCGAGGGCGCGGCGAGAAGTACCCATTTGATATTATATTTGTATTCTTTATCGAATTTTGAATATTGTCACTTCTTGTATGTTTTAGGTTTATAACATACCACATACCATGCCAAGAGGCGCGCTAAGTTGGACTTGTCGACGGTCTTTACTACTTGGAACATATTATTTGTCATACGTTGTATGACCCGCCGCGCACGAGTGCGCGGCTCCCCCTTTATCGTTGAAACTCTACTATAGCTATATAGTGAAACGACCGTGGGGGTCACGATGTGATACAACATACTTTGTATCACGTTGCGACCCCCACGGTCGTTTCACTATGGTGAAATCGTCCTGACGATACAGGGGGAGCCGCGCACTTCGTGCGCGGCGGGTCATACAACGTATGACAAAACATACTATATATTGATTAATATTTTATATATTTTCGAGCAAATATTTTAAGAGTATCACTCGTTGTGCGTTGACATACGTTGCATAGCCATAACACTTTTCGCACGAAGGCGACTCATATTTAGATAAACAAGCAACATGTGCACGTACTAGACCATTGTGGCCTATGGTTCGCTTCTTTCACGTATGCATGATCCCGAAATAAAAAGAGCGCGGTGCATAGGGAGGGCACGCCTGCGCCTGGTAAGCTAGCAGTAAGATAACTAGTCGACTTACCTATTCGCGCACCTGCATTTGCAACCTGTGCGCGGCAGGCCCCGTTGAGACCCACAGCGTGGGTTTTGGGGCAACAAGCGCCATAACACGAACAAAAAGAAACGAATTATTTTAACTACAATTGACAATATCAAAGAAAGATGTTGTACATCCAGCACCATACTGAAGTAATCAAGTAACTGTAATAATACAAAATGATGACTAAGTCATGGGGGTTTAATCATAAATGAACCCTCATCGGCTAAATAAACCCACATCGGCTCAGCGTGTACAGAAACTATAGTCACTTTTCCCGTTTTAGCTTCATGCTATTTTATAAGTTATCTTCTCATACTTGATGAGTAGTGAAATTTAGTGTCTAAGCATTAAGAACAAAGAACAAAGAACAAAGAAGCAGTTTAAAATATCTTCGACTGCTGGAATAAACAACTATCCAATCATATGACACAGACAAGGTTGAAGGTATAATTCGTGATAAATCGTCAGAAGATTTTATAAATTGGTACTTTTTATGTATTGTAATTTAATAGCTGAAGTATATGAGCAAACGGTAGGACTAAAAGTTAAACATTTAATATCCCTAACAATCTAAATAAATCCGCTTAAATCTGATTTGCCATTATCAAAGTAACAGTTCACACTCACAGTTCATTTAAGCAATATTAATAATAATTTAAGAGTTAAAAATATCAATACTTTGTAATATAATAAAATGATATTTCCTAGAGCCGGATCAGTATTTTACTTTTCAAGAAGCTTGCAGTTATTTACGGCCAACATAAACATGGAACAATGATTTCTGGGCCCATAAGATTAATATAGGCCTTTCTCTTTCCAAAATGTTCTTAAATGCCTAAGCACGACTAGTTAATCATTTTGGCAAAGTCAATAAAGACAGGATAAAATACTGAGTTAAATTGGTAACTCCAGTTATAAAATAGAGCCAACATATAATGCCACCATAAAACTGTTAAAAATAAGTTTAGAAAACACTAAATAAGTCTCTCATGTACGAGAATAAATCGTCCAGGAAGGTTTGTTATCTACCCCAACTCAGTTTGAAGTGTTCCGTATATATAATCAAGGTTAAACTTCGTGTTTGCAACTCCCGTAAGAGCCGACGTAAACACTGTAAATACAGAATTCCTTCATCAGATTTGTCATTTGTAAACAGACAGTCAAGTATGTCTAATCCTGTAAATATTGTAAAGAATCCTCTCTGTATCAGTACATGGGATGTTACTTCTCTTGTCAGTAATTCCAGTAAGATGTATCAATTAGGAAAAGGTGTTGATGATTATGGACTAGAGCTCCTTGGGGTAACTGAAACACATATGGCTGGATCAGGAACTCAGACTTTGAGCAATGGGGCTGTTTTGGTTTATTCTGGCAGGAGCGATGGAGTACGGAGAGAAGGAGTTGGTGTTGTTCTTTCCAAAAAGATGAAGAATACTCTCATATCATACACCCCTGTATCAGGACGGGTTATGACTGCCCGTTTACATAGCAAACACATCAACATTAGTGTTACAGTTGTGTATGCTCCAACTGAGGATGCTGAAATCAGTTTAAAAGACTCATTCTACAAGGAATTGAATGATGTTCAATCGGGACTACCTGCTCATGATATAAAAATAGTTTTAGGAGATTTTAATGCTCGTGTTGGAAGGGATACTGATGCTCACCCTGGTGTTATAGGAAAACACTCATATCACACAGAATCAAATGATAACGGAAAACGGATGCTAGATTTCTGTACAATGCACCAGCTGACGATTGGAGGCACACTCTTTGAACACAAGGATATCCACAAGACAACATGGAGATCCCCAAATGGTAACACCGTCACTCAAATTGACCATATGTGTATTTCGACGAGATGGAGCCATTCTTTGCTTGATGTCAGGAGCATGAGAGGAGCAGATATAAATACTACTCACTATCTGGTTAGAGGATATGTATCTATTAAACTTAAGTGTCCTCAGAAAAGAAAGAAGCGTGTAAGACAGCCTGCTTTAGAGCACCTGCGTGATAGATCTAAGAGCCAGGAATATAGTAACAGAATAGCTGAAGAGTACTATAACAACGATCAGGAGCATGGAAACTCTCCTTTAGAAGAACAGTGGAAAAATTTGAGAGATATAATAACTGATGTTTCATTTGAAGTTCTGGGTGAAAGGGGCCGGAAAAAGAGAACAGAACATCTCTCAAGGGATACTAAGAATCTCCTAAAAGAAAGAGGGGAGATTAAAAAGAAACCCAGCACTGCTGAGAACCGTGCTAAGTACTCGCGGATTAACGGTCTTGTTAGGCAGAACTGTAAAAGAGATGATAATGCTTGGGCTGTTAGAATAGCTGAGGAATTAGAAGATGCTGCCAAGCAGGGTCAACAAAGAGATGTTTGGCAGAAAATAAAATCCCTTACAAACAAGAGAGTAAACAGATCTGCGGCAGTGCGGGATAAGAATGGGACGCTTATATCAGATCCCGAAGCTCAATCACATCGCTGGGCCGAATATTTTGAAGAACTCTTGACGCCAGCAGCAAATGCGGTGGATTTCTCTATATTGGATCAGGATGAACAGTTACTTTCTTTTGAATACCTTAGTAATGATGATGAACCACCGTCCTTGTTTGAAATTGAGGAAGCTATCAAGAAGTTGAAGAACTACAAGAGTGCTGGAATTGATGAAATTTCAAATGAGCAGTTAAAGTACGGTTCTCCTGGACTTCTGCCTTGGTTAAAGGATCTTTTTGAAAATGTGTGGAAAAGTGAGGATATTCCCAATGATTGGAGAAAAGGAATAATCACCATCATCCCAAAGAAAGGGGACCTCACATATTGCAACAATAACAGAGGTATAACTTTACGCTCAACTATATCAAAGTTATTCCAAATTGTGTTGTTAAAAAGACTGAGTAATGGGCTTGAAAAATTACTCAGAGAGAATCAGTGTGGTTTCAGGAGAAACCGTTCTTGTATAGATCAGCTGTACTCACTTCATTGTATAATACACAATTGTATAGAATTCAACGTCCCTTTGTACATAAACTTTATTGATTTTAAAGCTGCTTTTGATTCAATCAATCGTGACTTTATTTGGAAAGCTTTTGAACATTATGGTCTTCCGACAAAATATATCAATGTTTTCAAAGCGTTCTTTAGAGCAACTGAAAGTGCAGTTCGTGTCAATGGAGAATTGACAAGATGGTTTGATGTCGATTCGGGGACTGGACAAGGTGATGTGCAAGGGCCCCCCATTTTTAATCTTGTACTTAACTGGGGATTAGAACTTGCAGAGAAGTTTAAGAATATATCCCGTGGTTTTACACTTCAGTACAGACAAAGTTCCAGACAACCGGAAAAATGTGTCATTGATCTTGACTATGCTGATGACATCGCAGGAATGGATGACACTGTTAAAGGACTGCAAGAAACTACGGACAATATTGCGAAATATTGTGGGCTTGGGGGTTTAAAGATGAACGCAAAGAAAACAGAGATCATGGTCATTGGGAAAGATACATCGCAGCACCCACTCCCAGAGAATAGGACCATAGATATAACTGTCGATGGAAACTCTGCAAAGCAGGTCACTCAATTCACTTATTTAGGTGCCAAAATTACATCAGATGGCAAGATTGATAAAGAAATAAGTGTCAGGATTGGAAAAGCAACCGGAGCTTTTAACCAACTCAACAACATTTGGAAGAATAAGAACATAAGCATTAACAACAAAGTGCGAATCTACATTGCAGCTGTTCTTACCATTCTGACCTATGGATGTGAGATATGGAACACGACTCAAGTGCAGACAAGAAGATTGGAGTCTTTCCATCAGTACTGCTTAAGAAGAATCCTGAGAGTGAGGTGGTTCCATCGAGTAAGTAATGAGGATGTTTTAAGAAGGGCATCAATAACTGCCCTTGCTGACATAATAACAACAAAACGGCTGCGTTGGTTTGGACATGTCAGTAGAATGCCTGAAGATCGGTTACCCAACTATTTACTTGAATGGAAACCCAAGCATGGGAAGAGATCAAGAGGCAGGCCTAGGAAGAGCTTAAATGATGTATTCATTGAGGATGCTGAGCAGAGATTGGATCGTAATGGACTCACGATTGATTGTATGAGAAGATTAGCTGCAGACCGAAAGGGATGGAGAAATGTTACCCGCCGAAGTTGTATAATACAAAGTAATGACGCAGTCGACGCAGACTAATCCTTTTGGATGGAGATCTCGCCATGTAACATGTATGTATGTAAACTTCGTGGAAGGTTCACGAACACTGGAATTGGTGACATCACGTTTTATTATGATGACGTCACGTGACATTTTGATGACGTCACACCTCTTATAACCAAGGATACCATGCTGGGTCCAGTCTGCACAGATTCTCGGGGGTTGTTGTCAAACTTATAATGGAGGGTAACTTGCTTTCTGCTTTGTCAAAGTTCGCTGCCGTCTGTAGGCGTGACATTATCTGGTTCACTGCCGACTGGGGACGAGAGGGTCAATCTCAAACACAAGGAAAGTTTTATTTGATTTTAAAGTTATTTTTGCTGATCACAGTTATACAATTTAGTTTTATTTTGAATTCAAAGGATATTACACTCCAATCCATTTAATTTTACCTGAATATCTTCAATCATACTGATGACTCGCGGTTCTGTCATATCTTTGATACTAGCTTGTACTTCGTCTTTCAATATGGCGGCCAGTATCGCCTCCGTGCCTGAAAAGTACGAGCACTTACAAAACGTAACATTTCTATTCAAATACACAAATAATCTTAATGTTTGAAGGAAGAAATTGTCATAGCTCAAAAGTCAAAGGTTAACATTTCAATTTCACGAGAAAAAAGACTTATTACTACTACTATTATTATTATTCCGTTATTACTCCGTTACTATTATTATGATCAGGAGATTAGGACAATTATTCTGAAAACTGGTAGACAAGACTACTAACCTAGTTTAGGGTCGATAAGACACCTTGCAGCAGCTATCATGGAGAATACCATCGGACCCGAGAGAGATATTGGACCCATCAGTGTAATCATGTTCGGTGTCAGACGGAACGGAATATGCTGCTCGTGTACAAACTCTCCTGAGGTAATGAAGTCACGTGAGCTGAGGGAGTGCGACATTACTTGAAAGACATTTTATCTGTTCAGAATACCCCTTCTATTGTTGCAGTCTCCTTCACTTACCGGTTTCCTTGCTGATAGGGATATGATAATGTACAGTGGACAAGGTGCCAGTCTCCTTCACTTACCGGTTTCCTTGCTGATAGGGATATGATAATGTACAGTGGACAAGGTGCCAGTCTCACTCACTTACCAGTTTCCTTGCTGATGGGGATATGATAATGTACAGTGGACAAGGTGCCAGTCTCACTCACTTACCGGTTTCCTTGCTGATGGGGATATGATAATGTACAGTGGACCAGGTGCCAGTCTCACTCACTTACCAGTTTCCTTGCTGATGGGGATATGATAATGTACAGTGGACAAGGTGCCAGTCTCCTTCACTTACCGGTTTCCTTGCTGATAGGGATATGATAATGTACAGTGGACAAGGTGCCAGTCTCACTCACTTACCAGTTTCCTTGCTGATAGGGATATGATAATGTACAGTGGACAAGGTGCCAGTCTCCTGTGTTATGTAGATGTGTTCAGGTTTGAGACTGCTGAGGAATAGAGCGAACTGGACCAAACAGTCGAGGGCTGTTTGTCGGGTTATCTGGTGCCGGAAACTCCAGAACATTACCGGGTCTGGGTACGTCTTCTTAGCCCAGTCTGAGAGAGGTCAACTAATTAGTTAATTAGGTAAACTAATTGGTTAATTAGGTATACTAATTAGTAAATTAGATCATCTAATTAGTTAATTAGGTCTACTAATTAGTTAATTAGGTCTATTAATTAGGTTTACTAATTAGTTAATTAGGGCAACTAATTGGTTAATTTATTAATAGGTTAATTGTGTAATGAGCGAATAAGTTTGATGATTCTATTTAGGTCCAATCTCCAGTGAGAGGATAAGATTTGGTGAGAGGATAAGTGCCATGATATCATGTGAGAGTGTGTGACGTCACGTGAGTTTGTGTGACGTCACGTGAGAGTGTGTGACGTCACGTGAGTTTGTGTGACGTCACGTGAGAGTTTGTGACGTCACGTGAGTTTGTGTGACGTCACGTGAGTTTGTGTGACGTCACGTGAGAGTGTGTGACGTCACGTGAGAGTTTGTGACGTCACGTGAGATTAACTTACCTAGGAGTACAGTGGGAGGAAGAATGTTTGTCTGTATAAAGTGGTATATTTTGTTCAGAGCAATACGGTTTAGCACTGATCCCTCGTTCTGCATTCGACCTGAAATAATTAACCAACTAGTTAATTAGCTAATTGGGTTACTAGACAATGAGTTTGTTTATTCTGCATCTAATCTTGCGGAGGACAGCACGTTACGCAGATTTACAAAGTTACCTAACAGTTTACAATACGAGCAATCAATAATATCTTTCCAATTAACCAGTTATCTCTCAATCGACCAATTAGACCCTAAATTACCGAGCTGTTCGTAATAGTAAGCAATAGGGGCGTCTACCTCCATTTCTGGGGACCTGTTCTTGCAATACCACCTGCATTATATTATTGGTGTTTTAAATAAATAATAAACATTAAACAGTCATAAAATATACACTGATTGATCATTTAAATTTTAAATAAGTTTAATTTATAATTCAGAGCATATATTACTGAGGGGGGGGGGGGGGGGGGGGGGGGGGCAACCATATTAAAGTATATTAAAATGTAGGATTTTTCCCGATTTTGACCCGGGGATATATTTTAATATACCTACAATATACTTTAATATATCCCTATCTCCTTGGAGGCCTACATCAAAAATTGTTGCCCAAAATAAGCTTGAAATGCAATTCTTAATCGATTCCAAAAAGTTCTCGAAAAAATATTGAAAACTGATGGAGTTATTTCAATTTTAATGAAGTCATTTTGGCTAGTATTCCGAACCGAGATATTATGTGCAATTTTCCCAATTTTGTTCATGGAGGTCTTTTTACTTAGTATCCACTATATTCAACAAACACTGAGTTATATCTTTCACATTGAGTTAGTCTCATTAAAAAATATTGAAATTTTATCGAATTTGGGCAAAAGCGAATTTGGGCAAAAGCGTATGCCCAAATATGGGCATATTTTTTAAAGCTCATAGCTCAGCCAATTTTTGACCAATCTGGATGTAAATTCATGTACTAGTCCTAAAACAGGCTTATCTTGCGAATCTGAGTGAAAAATATAGTTCATCATGTAAATCTTAACGAAGAATATAAATCTTCTAATTGTAGGTATATTAAAGTATATTAAAATGTAGGATTTTTTCCGATTTTGACCCGGGGATATACTTTAATATACTTTAATATGGTTGGCCCCCCCCCCCCCCCATTACTTTTTTACTTGTAGTGATATATATTAACCTGTATATTTCCAGAACCGATATGTTGCTGGTGTTGTCCTCTATAAGCCTGGACCCGGGCGCTGAAGCTACCACTTTAGGCACACTCCTGAGATTAATCAGTTAATTAATTAATTAATCAATTAATTAGAATTTCGATCAATTTATACTCCCTGCAAAGTCCAACGAAATTGAAATTAGATTTAGAAGGTTTGAAGACACAGTTTGGAGAAATTATACCAATTCTCTAGAAACTCTAAGATTTACAATTTAACCAATATGAACTCGTTATTTAGCAAATGTGGAGAAACCCATAGTTTTATACTCACCATTGTAAATTCCTGCGACAGGACTCTTTTCTCTGGAGTAGGGACTTGTTGAACATTCTTAACAGTTGTAAGAACCTGAAATATAAAGACACGTTGTAAGAAACTGAAATATAAAGAGAAATAATTGGTTGTGTTCAGCTTGGAACTGAGATTTATAAGTAAACTTGTAACAAGACAATACAATATTCATATAAAAGCTGCACAACCATTAAGTCTAAGTTATAAGTGATAACTGATAAAGAGTAAAGTAATTTTACAAATTTCTAACCTCTCTTCAGATCTGGCCAGTTTGACGTGAGATGAGGTGTTAACCATCAGATAAGGGTACACTTTACCGTTACTTCCCCTGTTAACACAATATATGGGTTAATAAAGAGTTTGAAATGGTTTAACACAACATCTAACGTTAAGCCACAAAATGTGCACTCGACCGGATATATAATTTAATGTGGGGAGAATTAAGATCTCACACAAACTACGAATAAACTAATTTTTAAATAAGTTCACACAATTTATTAAGAAAAATTCCATTAGTTAAAATGTATATTTATATACCGAATAAAGAGGCGCCTAGCAGTGAGGCTGTGTTTTCTGATCGTCTCAATCTTAGGTAGGAATCTAGCTATTTTCACATAGTGAGCTTTCGGGTTCAGGAACTCTCCGATAAGGTAGACCTCTGAGGAGTGTTTAAAATAGTTAAGATAAGGTAGACCTCTGAGGAGTGTTTAAAATAGTTAAGATAAGGTAGACCTCTGAGGAGTGTTTAAAATAGTTAAGATAAGGTAGACCTCTGAGGAGTGTTTAAAATAGTTAAGATAAGGTAGACCTCTGAGGAGTGTTTAACATAGTTAAGATAAGGTAGACCTCTGAGGAGTGTTTAACATGGTTATTGGTTAAGATAAGGTAGACCTCTGAGGAGTGTTTAACATGGTTAAGATAAGGTAGACCTCTGAGGGGTGTTTAACATGGTTAAGATAAGGTAGACCTCTGAGGAGTGTTTAACATGGTTAAGATAAGGTAGACCTCTGAGGAGTGTTTAACATGGTTATTGGTTAAGATAAGGTAGACCTCTGAGGAGTGTTTAACATGGTTAAGATAAGGTAGACCTCTGAGGGGTGTTTAACATGGTTAAGATAAGGTAGACCTCTGAGGGGTGTTTAACATGGTTAAGATAAGGTAGACCTCTGAGGAGTGTTTAACATAGTTAAGATAAGGTAGCCCTCTGAGGAGTGTTTAACATGGTTAAGATAAGGTAGACCTCTGAGGGGTGTTTAACATGGTTAAGATAAGGTAGACCTCTGAGGAGTGTTTAACATAGTTAAGATAAGGTAGCCCTCTGAGGAGTGTTTAACATAGTTAAGATAAGGTAGACCTCTGAGGAGTGTTTAACATGGTTAAGATAAGGTAGACCTCTGAGGAGTGTTTAACATAGTTAAGATAAGGTAGACCTCTGAGGAGTGTTTAACATGGTTAAGATAAGGTAAACCTTATCGTGAGAAGAGATATCTATATTAGAGATATCTATATTCTATGGCGAAATTAAATTTAATTAAAATTAAACGAAAGTGAAACTAAAGTGAAACTAAAGTGAAACTAAAGTGAAACCAAAGTGAAACTAAAGTGAAACTAACCAGCGCTGGAACTACAGAATTTAGACAAGTAGGAGCAGCGTTCCTCCATATAGTTCTTACTATTGTTGCTCTGCGTCTTATCCAACATCTTAACCCAGCATTTCAGTGTCTTTAATACCTGCAGTATAATTCAGTAAGATGGTTATTGTTCATATCCTTAGTAAGAGTAGGAGAAATAAAATATTCTTCCACAAAAGGGAAAAAGTCGTGCCTCAAATATACATCCATCTACTGAATACTGGACTCCGACAGAAGGGTGAACGAATGAACTTAGGACAGTGATTTCAATTTGGTGGTTAAGTAAAACCACTCAGTCATTCTATTCTCACTAATCAAATAGTAACCCTAAAGTTTAAATATTTACACCAATTCTTCTCCTCACTAAACATACATAAATAAATAACAAGAGGATGGGGGAGGCACTTTTTACCTTATGTAGCTTCTTGCCCTGGTTGTTACTGAAATCAAAATCAGCTTCAAATCTTTGTTTAATGGTAGTCTGCTTGCTAGCGTCCCTAGATTTTGCTGGAACTGGAGAATATTGTGTTTAAATTCTAGAATTAAGGAGAGATTTTCAAGGAGATATTTAAGGAGATATTCAAGGAGATGTTCAAGGAGATATTTAAGGAGATATTTAAAGAGATATTTAAGGAGAGATATTTAAGATAGTGATGATCTAAGTAGCAATCTCCCGTGAATCACATACTCAGTAGTGACATTACAGCCGAAGCTTTAAACAGAACGATTAAAATAATCTCCCGGGCTGAGATGAGGAATTGGACAACTATAATACCCAAGCTCGGAATTAAATGGTACATCCCCAAAAGGTGGTCGTTTATAACTGATGTAATGTGACGAACCAGTGTTGAGGTACTGCATAATCCCCGGTTATGTATTTGTAAATCTGCTGAGATATCTTCACGTTCAACACGTCTTGTCTGTGGTCAATCTCAAATGCTTCGGTCTCGCACATTTGTATAACTGTGTATAACTTCTGTAGAACCTCGTCGTACCTGAGGTGATGACGTCACGTGAGGGAGTGTGACGTCACGTGAGGGAGTGTGACGTGAAAGCAATGATAGTATCTAAAACAGTCAGGACTAGTTCCCCATCCTAACTTCTCCGTTGCCATGGTTACTCACCAAGCATCCTTCATGTAGTGTAGAGTTTCTATGATACTCTCCAGTGCGTTCAGCATAGTGGGGTGTATCTCTCTTAGCACGTGCAGTAGTTTGTTACACCTGATTGTTACTTGTTTAGCACGTGCAGTAGTTTGTTACACCTGGTTGTTACTTGTTACAAGTAGTTCTTATTTACAAATAATGAGATTGACAAAAAGTAAGAAAAAACGTTAGGCGGAACTATGCAAACGCAAAACCAAACGTTTTCCTTCGTAAAGTAAAAGAGCTTCAAGTTTAATTCGTTCTTATCTACATTTTCACTAGTATAATCCTGAAAGCAAATCTTGTGATACACCCCAAGGGGGAGGGGGGGGGGCCAATGACTACCAATGGAGACTTTTGGGGACTAATGGGGACTAAAAATCATGGGGACTAGAGGTCAACTCGTTGCCGTAATTCACCATTTTTCCCCATAAGTCCCCAGAATTTTTGACAGTTATTTATGGTTTTCAAGTTAGTTTATACGATCGAGATGTTTTGTCCAAGATAAGAGTAGGATAAATCTAAATGGGGACTAATGGAGACTTTTGGGGACTAATGGGGACTAAAAATCATCTAAATGGGGACTAATGGAGACTTTTGGGGACTAAAAATCATGGGGACTCGGGGTAAAATCGTTGACGTAATTCCCCAAGTCCCCAAAAGTAGTCATTGGCCCCCCCCCCCCCACCCCAAGACTAGGGAAGACTAGTTACAAAATTCTAACCAAGACATCCTAGGTTTGAGTCTAGCAAACTCTGGGGGCTGATCAGGAATGTCCTTCTTCATAGGGTCCCCGTCAGGTAGGTTCCTGTTATACTCCACTACACTCTTGTGTCTAGCCATAACCTCCTGGTATTCTCCTCGCACTGAAAATACGGAGTCACGTGAGCTGGAGTTTGTGACGTCACGTGAGCTGGAGTTTGTGACGTCACGTGAGCTGGAGTTTGTGACTTCACGTGAGCTGGAGTTTGTGACTTCACGTGAGCTGGAGTTTGTGACGACACGTGAGCTGGAGTTTGTGAGGTCACGTGAGCTAGAGTTTGTGAGGTCACGTGAGCTGGAGTTTGTGACGTCACGTGAGCTGGAGTTTGTGACGTCACGTGAGCTGGAGTTTGTGACGTCACGTGAGCTGGAGTTTGTGACGTCACGTGAGCTGGAGTTTGTGACGTCACGTGGACTGGATTATGACGTCACGTGAGCTGGAGTTTGTGAAGTCACGTCACAGCATTTTAGTGCATATGCTACTTCATAAGTTGAATATAAACATGGCTATTGCGAGTCGTTTGCACTTGTCCAGAAGTCTCTAGCCATAACTCATGCATAGGTGCATACATATTTTGCGACAAAACTATTTGAAGGACAATTTCAATTACTTAAAAACAAGGCACTATCAAGATGATGGAATTAAAAACAAAAATTTAACGAGTTATAATTAGTAACCTGTAAGGTAGACGTTTCTTATAGGAAAGTAAAGAGCCTGAGGGTGGACTCTGCCAATTGTTTGTAGAATAGCATGGAATACCCGGGCTTCCTTTGAGCCCAGTCCAGCAAGCAGCTGTGGAACCCACTCCAACCACTTCTCTGGGGTTATCACGTGGGTTAGAAATAACGTCACGTGGGTTATCACGTGGGTTATCACGTGGGTTTTAAATAACGTCACGTGGTAAACTTTAAATCATGTGTGCTAGAGATTTCGCTTTCTAAAAACAAAAGACGTCAAATGAAAACGTCAAAATTGAAAATGTACAGCTACGAAAACAAACCAAGTTATACAATGATAAACATTAACTCAGAACGAACCGATATGAACGCTGGTATGGAACTGTTCCAAACACTTGGACAGCACCTCCTCAACAGAGTCAAATGTCAGCAGCCACAAGATACGAGATATGTATCTCCGAACTTTGGAGTCGTCTTTCTGTTTACTGCAAGCCTGACAAGTAATGTCGGAGTTCAGAGCTGGTACCTTTTATTACGGTCCAATGTTTTCTACTATATTCTTTTAAAAACCAAAAGTTTCATCCGAATAACATATTCACCAAAATTAACATACAATGTTCTAATTTATAATTAACATAAAGTTCCAACCAGAAGCATATCCACAACTACAGATAAGAACACCCCATATAATAACTAACTAACCTGTAAATAACAAGCAATAGCACTCTCCGCGTGGTACAAGTTAGCTTTGTAAATATTGATCCGGTCCATGGGACTAATCTTCTCCTGGCTCGCCTTCTCCACCTCGTTCTGGAACAGCTCGTCACTGTACTGGGCCCACAGTGCCCACGCTCCCGGTACTTGGTCATTAGTCTGCAATTAAAGGTCATTAGTCTGCAATTAAAGGTCATTAGTCTGCAATTAAAGGTCATTAGTCTGCAATTAAAGGTCATTAGTCTGCAATTAAAGGCTGTGTCTAAAAAAGTGTAATTTAGTGACTTTTTTGTCTCACAAAGGGTATGTTTTATCCTTGTTTTGCCTTTGGAAATGTTCTATGTGGAAACTGACGGGAAAATAATAGGGAAAAAAAAGATTTTGAGAAGGTTAGTGTAAAAAAGTGTAACTTAGTGTACCTTTTTTTACTACACTTTTTATGTGTATAAAAAAGTCAAAAGTGTAGTGAACACTGTACAGTTTACAGTTGGGGACACCGGACAATCAGTTCGACCTACCTGTATAGCTAGCCAGATGTCTTATCTCAGACTGTCCGCTATACCCACGTGACTAAACCACGTGACTAAACCACGTGACTAAAACACGTGACTAAAACACGTGACTAAACCACGTGACCTACCTGTATAGCCTGTGAGAAGGTCTTCATAGAATCTTCACTTCTCCCCAACATAGCGAATATGTGGGCTTTATGAGAGAGAATATCTGCCTTGTGCTCCGGCTTGTTCATTATCCTCATGTTCACCCCTAGCGTTATTAATTAATTTAATAACTAGCGTTAGTAATTACTTTAAATTTAATAAGACTCTTGTTTAGTGCAAATGATTTTAAATACCTAATGTTACATATCAATATATTTTAGTAATCACTATAATCTGCTAAAAATGTTCATTCTTCAACAACGTTATCGCTCGGTTCAAACACAAATTACAAGAAGAAGAAAGCGAAAGTGAAAGAGAAACAAACCCTCAATAACGTCAAGAGCAGCCAACAGGTCCTGCTGAGAAGCGGGAGGCAGCAAGTGGACCTTGATCTGCTCCTTTAGCTTCTTGTGACAATCAGTCAGAGGTACACTGGGAATGGTGTGCACTCTGGCCAGCCACTCTTGTGCACTAGCTGATAACCCGTGCTTTCTAGCTAGACTCGCGTACGTGACCTGCAACAGGTGAGTTGGTGAAAGTGAAACTAATATTTAAACATTTGGTGAATCAAGTTGAACAAGTGAAAGTGAAACTAATTTAGAAACAGCTGATGATGATGAGACATTTATGACAATTCGAACTAAATAAAGATTTACTTGATATAATGATTTATAAAATGAGAAACATTGCTCGTTACAAACAGAGCATTGCTCGTTACAAGCAGAACATTGCTCGTTACGAACAGTACTAAGTACGTTACCAAGGTTACTCACCATGGTAGTCGCAGAGCTCTGCTGACCAATGAGAAGGAGGTTGGGAGCGTTAGGATCTGCGTTAAGATCGATACCGGGCTGGGCATCCAGAGCAGTGTACACCTGCAACGTGACGATATAGATTATGTGTGACGTCATATATTATGTGTGACGTCATATATGATATGTGACGTCATATATGATGTGTGACGTCATAGATTATGTGATGCCACAAATCGCGACAGAAAAGTCAGGTTGTTTTTAAACAATCTGACATTATACCTTCAAGAACTACTTGACTTCAGTCTGAAAAATAACATTTATCCGACTTGTTAACGCCACAGACGATCATGATTTCCCAACCATGTCGATAGTCAGCAACATTAAGGACTACGGGTGGAAGATGAATAATTAAAATTCCAACAGCATCTTGTTCCCTTCATTGTGCTGATTCCGGGAAGCATTCTCTTTACGCTCTGATCATACTTTAGAATGAGATATCGTTTAGAGGAGCTGCGCAATTATGGCATCATCTGGTATCATCTTCTGAAACCCAGCACTGAGTAACATCACCACAATCATTTGTCATCTCACCTGACCTTTAAAATCCAAACGATATGTGACTAATAAGTAATAGCACTATAACACTCACACAGAAAATTAGATAACACACATTATGTTCCTTCTACAGTATATTCTCTACTTTGTGAAATCACCGTTTTCTTGCGTTCCTGAGTTTACTAATACTAAATACTTCTCTCATGCTGTTTATAGTCCAGTTACTAGACTATTGGCATTTCCTGTTCATTAAAAATTCGGAATCATCATCTCCTATAGTTTTCAAGTCATTCCTATTGTTTCGATTTTGGTATAAGATTAGAATTCCAAAGGGGGGCTTAACGTGCCAGCTCCACACTCTGATAAAATTAGAGTACGTTACATTCTATGAGATCATCGCACATAACTTTGAGTTTGTTTATCTTCGCACAAATCTTGTTTCTCTTCGCATTGATCTAACAATTCGTGCTGTTACCTGTTGATACTTAATTCTAGGCTCTTGTATCGCTTCAAGACGTAGTACTGTTCCGGGTAAAAGTTTCTGAACGATTTTTTCCAACTTTAATATCTGTGAAATTGAACTGCAATTAAATAATACGGTATCTCCAACAAGCCTTCTCTATTACATATCGCACGAATGTTTTATATAGTGGGTACGTTGGTATTACCAAGGTATACTGTATAATATGCTTAAATAAACATGATAAAGCCAACTTAAACATGATATTACATTTTCTTTTAGATCATCATTAAAATGAACGAAGAAACAATAATCATAAAGCTGAAGGACGGAGACCCGCTGAATGTCTGCAAACAGATATTAACGAAAGCGGAAAGACAGCCGAATGTTCCGCTACATGATACAGGAACTGAATTATGATGAGCTAGACCTGGAAGACTTCAGCTCTGTGAGTGTAACATTATTTGTTAAATTATTGGACGATAAGAGTGTGGGAGATTTGGAGACAGCTCAGTTTAAGGAGCAACAGAAGTTAGGTCACGTGTTCGAGGTGGTGTGGCTGGTGAAGGAACTTAAGGAATGGCTGGAATGCAGGATGGAGAAAGCTGTGACGGATGAGGAGAAGTTGTTTGCTTTTGAAGAGTCCCTCTATATAAGGAACAAGTGGGAGGAGCATGAATTAATGAACGGTTTTATGAGCAGGTTTTCTGGAAGGTACAACTATTCATTCGTGTTGCAGTACATGACAGAGTGGGGTAAATTAGATTTAGACGTTGTTCAGATTGATCTCATGTTGATTCTTGGAGGATGTAATACTGAACTTTTCCTTCGAATAATGTTAATGAACTTGGAAAACAATAAAATCCTGGATAAAAACAGTAAGTATCTTCTAAGCCGAATGGATCTCACACTTTGCTGGGAGCAAAACAAAGATCTGTTTTTAGAGATGTGTGAGAAGATACAAGATTTGTTGAATATTTCAGCAGAGGATATGAAATATGCGTTTAAACTGACTACAGAGGTAATGCAATCAGCTAGTTCCCGTAGCACACACACAAAGGAAAGGACTACAGAGGTGTGGAACCTTGGTAAAGACAGTAAGGTGTCGAGCAGTTGTAAAACAATCAACAGTTTTACAGATGCGATTGCAGGGAACAGCATCACCTCCATGTTTAAAGTTGTTGAAATGCTGCTTGTAGTTTTCTACGAAAATCCTCCAACCACGGAAGAAACAGAAGCATTTATTAAAATCTTGGAATCATCCTGCAGAGACAAACACCTCCAAAAGGTCTCGAAGCAGCACCTGGATATGATGATCAATACCTTAAACTACTCTCCTTTATCGCAGAGAGTTGAGCTTATCTCAGTGTTGAATGAAATAACCAATAACAACCAGCTTTCTAGTTATCATGAGAATGTTACCCTAAATCAGGATAAGTTGATAGCCGTTTCACCAGGTATTGGACAAAGAGTACTCAGTTCATTGAAACATTTCTTCAACAGAGATGAAAGTTTATCATCAGGCACTGCTTACAATTATCACTTTTCTTTTAAACACCCGGCAATTACATCACAGTGTACAGAGCCTGGTAATTGCGGATTCATCTTGAAGAATTGTAAATACAGAACACAAGGCACCGGCAATGTGAACTTTAACTGGGTATATAAACTGTGCTCAGACAACAGCGACTATAATGGAACAGGACTACATTTGCATGATGTGATCTCTGCTAGTGACATGTACCTTTCTGATACTGTGTCAGGTAACACAGCATCTGATATCAGGGTTCCGGTAACAGCAGGGGCAGGTAATTTAAGTGTATTTTGGTGGGGGAAGTGGTTACCAGATATGACTTACTGGCAGTATAATGAGCATATCTCTGAACTATCTTATAACGTATCTGATTACGTTGTCGCTAAACATGACTAATCATACACTCCGCAAGACTGTCACATGATTTATTTTAAGTGTTTTATTTTATATTTTGGTTTTTGTTTTAAATCATGACGTCATTACAAATAATGTTAACATTTTTAATACGTATTCTACTGTAATACTGCCTTATAAGTTCTGTGTATTAAATCAGTTGATTTAACAGCTAACTTCATAACAAAGCGACTTAGTAACCGAGGCATTAGATAACCACTCATCTTACTAATTAAAGAGATACAATCATGATATTCCCTTGAGCCCTTGGTAATATAGATTGACTAAAATCAAACAAGAAAGCATTCAATGATGACCAGGTCCAATAACTTCCTCGGCCTCTATGATATCATATTGTCAACAGTATGATATTTAATTCTGGTGTTTGATTGGTCAATAGTCGAAGCTGAATGGTCTGTCACATGTCAAAAAAATATGTTTCCAAGAGAAAATATCAAAAAATATCAAATATAGGTCATGTGACGTAACACCAGGTCATGCGACGTCACACCACGTGATATGACGTCACGCCACGTGATATGATATAAAATGTTGTAACTTACCTCAATGATTTTCTGATGATAGTGCTGTCTCCAAGAGAAGATATCGTTCCAGTGCCCGATATCATCAGATATGACAGGCGGTCTATTTCTCCACGCTTTCAATGTCGCCTTGATGTCTATCTTGCCTGCGTAACAGATACGTTACAGATACGTAACAGATACGTAACAGATACGTTACAGATACGTTACAGATACGTTACTCTACGTAACACAACTCTACGTGGATAATTAATTGTTATTACAATATATTTCAAGTACTCTGGTACCATGGTGATGGGAACTAAAGAAAGCACGTACTATTAGGAATACTAGCGCGGTTAGGAAGCAAGTTCTTCTGGATAGACTGAGACTCGTGCAGCTCGGTAGCTTGCTGCGCGAATTGTAACAATGGCACGTGCACGTTTCCCACTATCCGTGGCAGTTTTCTCCATTGTCTGAGCGCGTTTATGGTAGCTTGTTTCCAGTGTGACTCTACCGGGCCCTGAGGGTTATGGGGCTGGTGAGTGGGAGTGTTTTGTTAGGCGTTAGCTGATCATAAAAACTGAGATATTTATCCATGTGTTCGAGAAATATGGACAGAAATATGTTTTAGCGTTTAAAAATAATATGAATTTTCTTTTGTGTTCGACAAATAAGCATTGAAATATATATCTTGTGTTTGACAAATAATACAAAATATTTCCTTGTGTTTGGCAAACCTCAGGACCAGGATCATCGTCCTGTTGAAGGGCGAGATAACCCTTGTAAAGTGAGACAAGGTGGGACGCTCCGTCCGGCATTATCCTGTCCGCCTGTGTAATACAGAGCAGTCAAAGTGAGGAAGTAAACATGATTACAAATTACAGACAATCAGATGAACGGATTATCAAAGAAAAGGTAGTCTTTTGAGTCATTTAATCGCTAAAATAATGTTTTTAAATACGTTATAACTGTACCTGTGAGAGAACGTCCTTCATGGTGTTCCAGTCCCCAATCCGCCAGGAACTCTCGAGCAGCAAGGAGGGATGTTGGGAACCCTTAACTTTAGCTATCTCGTTCAGTATGTTCCACTGTGAGCACTGTCTTGTGCACTCCATCCACTGGTAGGTTTTATTAACGGTCATGTGATCGTGTTTATAGAAGCAGGCTTAAGATTAAATATAATTGAATTATCTAATTAATTTAGGTTGCAACATTTGACGCATGATGCTTCTTAGTCGCCTTTTCTGTTGACTAACGGCCGTCTCACTCGACGAGCTGATAAAAAACCTGGTCCTTCCACAGTTTGAACTCGGGCTGTTGGTTGGTGGTAGCACAAGCGTTCTTCAGTTGAGCAGCTGCCGTCTTGGTAGCACTCTCGTAGGTAGCTTGAGCTAGCTCGTAGAAACCCAGGTTTTGGTATCCTAGCGCTTTTATTGTTTCCGGGTGCTTACATCTTCTGAACCACAAACCTGTCGCGTTTTGGATTGTTAGAAAACAGTTTGTTTCAAGAGGAAAACAGATGGTTAGACAATGAAGGACAATGAATTATGGAAATCAAATATAATGTTTCGCAATATTTGAATTTCAGATCAATATATGCTCTGCCAAAAATGGCTTAATCCTATTATATTGATAACAAAAACAAAGAAAGAAAGAAACAGACAAAGAAAGAAACAAAGAAAGAAACAAAAAACAAAGAAAAAAAAAAGAAAGGAACAAAGAAAGAAACAAAAAACAAAGAAAGAAAAACAGGTACCTGTCCACATGTCATGCTCATTAAGTTGAGAGTACAGTACCGTCAGGCAGTCGATAGCATCGTAAGCTACCCTATCCTGGGCCTCTGTTTTAGGGTACTCTCCCATCACCTGAGATAACAGATTTACAGAAAGAAGGTACTGATACAGCTGGATATTAAATAGTGAAGCAACGGCACCAGCTCGATCAGAACAATGACAGATGGCTGAAATAAGAGAGTAAGAAAGACACGGACCTGTTTCTGATGAAGCTGGAATGAAGCGAAGGTTTCTCCCGCAGTTCCCATTTCCTCTAACCTGAGAGCTACCTGGTGCCAACAGTTGTGCACCGAGCCCAGGTACTTGAGATAACAGGGCTTCAGGGGGACGGGCACGTCACGGAGACTCTCTAGGAAGCAACCTACACTGGAGGGCTGCAAGTCTCCTTGCTCGTGGAGCATTGATGCGCACAGGAACTGTGGGTTGTTTAGTGTGTCAGTCAAATAGCTGAGTAATTAAATAAATTAACAGCAAAATAATTAATTAACAAAATAAATGATTGATAAACTAATTTAACATCTAAAGTCTGACCTGTGGAAGATCCCTACAGAGTCTGGACTGCTGATCCTTGCTGAAGGTGTTCCATAACTCCGCAAACATCTTCACCCACAAGGTGATTAGCAAGTTCAGTGCTGTCGTGAGCCAGCTGACAGACGCTCTGAACAAACTCACAACTCTTGTGGTCTTTCAAGCTCTCTAGGAAGGTGCCGTGCTTCTCGGCTAGCACCTGGGGAATAACTGTGTTATAAACAGGCTAAAAAGAGGTTATAAACAGGTTATACACATGCTAAAAACAGGTTATAAACAAGAAATTAACATTTTACTTAAAACTTTGGAGATAAATCAAACTCCCCGGGACTTTGTGGTGATACTAATTATACAAAGAAAATTACCTGTAAGTTGCTAGGAGTGGGGGAAGTAAGGGGTCCCTCTGAGATCTCCATAGCGGCCGGTACAGGGTTATCAAGTGTAGTTGTGAACATTTCCAGGGAGCTGGTGGAACTGTTAGCAGGGTCGGGCATGGCGGAGACCATCAGAGAGGGCAGCATCAGGTCCAGGTTAGATACATTCAGAGATTTAGCTCCGTCGTTTACTGTCAGCAGCATCTCTGGGTCAGTGTTTGTTAGTTAATTGAAGTTAAGATCCTGTAGCAATATCGAGATGGATAAATATCGGGACTAACATTGAGTAATAAATGAGTGAGTTGAGTTGAACCCAAAAACCTGAAAAAATTATTGCAACTTATCTATTCAATCTGGTTTACCTATGAACTGTTTGATCCAGAAGTGAGGGCCGATAAGTTTCCAGTTGAAGTTGTGAGGTGAGATAAGAGCAACTAGTCTCTCGAACATGTCTGCTGATACGTTCTGTTTCAGTACTTCTGTGAACTTGCAGCGCAACTTCGGGTCTGTGAACCTGCAGTTGGAGGTTTAGTGAACCTTTTTTGGTGTTTAGATTGTTTTGGTGTTGATTTCATTTTATATTAGGGAATTATCATTTATATAAAAGTACTTCGCGAAAAAGGAAATATCCCCAACAGTTTTGTTACAATATTGATCATGGTCGTCTTGGTTACGATCATGGTCGTTATGGTTACGATCTTGGTCGTCATGGTCACGATAATGGTGGTAAAAACAAGAGTTTCTACAGAACAATGTCCAACCAACCTCAAGCCAGTCATGAAAGCGCTCTCCAGTTTAGAGCCCAGCTCAGCCTGCAACACATTATCTGTGTACACATGCAGGATAATCTTCAAGAAGGAAGCCATCAGCTCCTGATCGTTAGGGAAATGGTTCTCATAGTTCTGGTTCATCTTGGTAAGGAGAAGAGTCTTCTCCTTGAGGGTAACCCCGGAGGTGGGCGACTGTACCCAACTAGCCACCACGTCCGTTAGACTCCGCAATAACTTGGGGTCCGGACTTTTCTCTATCAGGGTTATCAGGTTACCGAAGAACATCTTCCGGTTGATGTCGTTGACGAGGATCTCCACTTGGTCCTTGACTAGGTCTATGCAGACCATGATTAGGTCGGATGTGGAGACGTTTGGTGCGGGTCGTTCTCGCGGGTTTCCTGTGGACATTTCAGTAAAATTCACCCGGATTTCTTTCAAGTAAGGATTTAAATACCATGTAATAATTAATATTATTATCACCATTGAAGAAAACTGAATATTCTGGAATCAATCTGACAATTAGCGGGGAGGAAATGTAACAAGAATTGCGCCCGTTCACCGTTGTTTCGTTTTGGCGGACGCTAGATTTCCATTTCACTATAACTATTAATATAAGCTCTAATCAGCTCACCTTATAATAATAATATTGAAACATCAGTATAGACTACGCGTGCCACATTCAAGTTGGGCTTATTACAAAATACTATACATGACTAGTATACATTAAAATACGCTCGTGCCGCGCATTCATTGACCACAGACTAGCTATACACCACATCTCCGCAAGCAATCCCCGTGCGCGTGCGCGCGGCAAGTTGACATGGTAACGAACGGAAGCAAGCAAGTAATCTAAGTAAACTATAGGTAAAAATATAATATTAATCATAAGCTAAAATGTACTAATCTTTGTATTCTAAATGGGGAAAAAGAAGAAACATTGTCAGTCAGTCGAGAAAATTGTCAGTCAGGCTATATGGCAGCTTTGTAGATGTTGTGACTATGCTAGTAGTGGTCCCAGGCTTGCGACTGGAATTGCGGTGTTAAATCGATTTAATGGTACCAACGATCCACCTCCCACTTGTTGTTTGGAACACGACATATATTTGACCCACCTACCGCTATCTCCAAAATCCACGTTTTTCTGCAAAAACGTCCATTCGTAACCTTTCACTATTGCCTTTTTTCAAAAGGGTGAAAAGGAAAAAATCTTGGAAGATGATCAATTCCCGACATTCCAACCAGTAGAAATATCGTACCTCTTTGAGCATTGTCCCTTGCCGAACTACAATGCTCCTTCTGCAACTTCTGCAAGCACTTTATATACTCCTTCACAAACTTCTCCAGATATCGAGGAGATGTAGCACAAGCTGCCTTCAGTATCATGAGAGGAGAGTAGAGGATATCAGCTGCTCCCACAGGGGTCTCCTTGTTCTCGTATCTGGTGAGGAGGGGTTAGGAGGCGAGGGGTTTAGAGGGGAGGGGTTAAGAGGTGAGGGGTTTAGAGGTGAGGGGTTAAGAGGTGAGGGGTTCAGAGGTGAGGGGTTCAGAGCTGAGTGGTTCAGATGTGAGGGGTTTAGAGGTGAGGGGTTAAGAGGTGAGGGGTTCAGAGGTGAGGGGTTCAGAGGTGACGGGTTCAGAGGTGAGGGGTTCAGAGGTGAGGGTTCAGAGGTGAGGGGTTCAGAGGTGACGGGTTCAGAGGTGAGGGGTTCATAGGTGAGGGGTTCAGAGTCGAGGGGTTCAGAGGTGACGGGTTCAAAGGTGACGGGTTCAGAGGTGAGGGGTTCAGAGGTGAGGGGTTCAGAGGTGAGGGGTTTAGAAGTGAGGGGTTCAGAGGTGAAGGGTTCAGAGGTGAGGGGTTCAGAGGTGAGGGGTTCAGAGGTGAGGGGTTCACAGGTTGGATCTTAACACATTAACACAAAGAGTGGAGAGGTTGAATCACGATAGTATAGTGGTAATATCATGGAAAATAGTGTGATTTTGAAGTGAAATCGAGTAAAATTCAGTGGAGAAGTTAAAGGGTGTTATCATGGTGGACATGGTTTATGACAATAGAAATCATTCTGAGATTGATTTTAACAAAAAATTGAACCCGTCCATCAATAAAACTATCATTGAAAGTAATCACTATTACCATTATAGTAGTGATTATATAACTAGTCACCACAGCTATATACTAGTTATAACTAGTCACCACAGCTATATTGTCAAACATACCTTTCAGCTCCCTTATCGTATCTATCCAGTCCATTAGATATTATCTCATTTACACTCTCGTACAAAATACTGACCTAAATTAGACGTGTTATTATTTAAATTTAATTTTAATTCATTTGAGTACTAATCTTATCTTTATTAGGAACTGATGATGAACGAAATATTCGGCTCATCTAGTAAAGATTTAATTGTAACTTTAAGAAAGGTTGTGTGATTGCTAACCTCCTCGTGGTTCACCCTCTGTTCAATAGGGAACATAGTAAACATCTTAGCAAGAAGGGAGTGTACTGTCTTGGTGATCTGCAGGTTGGGGGACTGCATGCAGAAAGAGAGACCACGTGTCATGTGGTAGATGTTCTTTAGGATAACGTCCCGCTGGATGATGTCTAACAGGAACTCTACTAGTTGCAGGATCGTACAGATTCCTGGATAGTTTGGGAATTAGCTGGACACCACGTGAACGTCATCGAAACACCACGTGACGTCATCGAAACACCACGTGACGTCATTCACAATACCACGGGATGTCATCACAATACATGTGACGCATCATCACAATACCATGTGACGTCATATAAACACCACGTGACTTCATCACGACCCTCAAGTGACATCATAAAACTCCACGTGATATCATCAGAACACCACGTGAGGTCATCACAAGACCACGTGACGTAATCACAAGACCACGTGACGTCATCACAAGATCACGTGACGTCATCACAACACCACCCTACCTTGAAGGAAGTAGGCAGGGTTAGTCCTGTCTGGCGGTGTTTTTATTCTTTCTAACTCCCTGTTTGCCCAAGTGTAGATCTTCGCACTGCAGTTCTTAAAGATATCCAGCTCTGGCTTCATGCCTAGTTTTACTAGTTGAATACACCTGGAAAACAGGGAAATATTAGATTAATCCCACGGAATCCAGGAGTTTATCTCACTTTCCTTCACAGATTTCAATCCTTTTAAAATTAAATGGTAAAATGATTATCAAGATATATAGCTCTTTTAGTTTTGATGTTAGAATAAAGTCAACCAATTGTTCAACTATACACGAAGGCTCAAAGTAACAATGAAATTATGAAAACAAACCATAAATATTGAATATATATGAAAATAAACCATAAATAAAACTCACCTCTTAGACAAAGCCTCACTCTGCTGAATATTAGTGTTACTATCACGTGTATAGGCAGAGTAAGAGAGTCTCAACAAGAAGTTGAACACTCCGTCTCCATATCGTGTCTCAAACGAGGACAGAGGCTCAGGAGGGGGAGGTCTCAGAGGACAGGGGTTCAGACTGACTTGGCTGGGAGGTCGGTATGAAGTGACCTGAGTTGGGTTTATTAGTTCAACTTGGGGGTTCAAAGTGTAAAATCTGTGATTGAATGGACAGTTGTTATAATTGGAATTATAAAACATTAAATGAGAAAAAAATAAATTAAAAGTGTATTGTTGAATAGTAAGTTTAATTAACAAATTATCTATATACTAATCAATAACTTGATTAACTAATTACTTAATTACTAATAACCAAATTAAGCTATTACTTGTAACTAACCTCGACCTCACTCTGGTTTATCAGTAACCCAGTCTTCATGGCTATGATATTCTCAAGTTGCTCGTCTGTGAGCCCTACTCCACTAGCTTCGTGTACTCGCTGTATTTCCCACTTTATCACTACCTGGTTAGTTAATTAATTGGTAATTTAATTAACTAATTTGTCAATTAGCTCTTTAGAATACAACAATTGTGTACTCGCTCTATCTCCCACCCTACTACAGGATACAGTGTAGAAAACTCTAACTCGATAATAGACTGGTGCAGTCAAGGAGGTGGTCCGCAGATTGTGTGGTGGCCGTGAAGATGCCCAATTCTAAACCTCTCAATAGGTTCAATAGGTAGGTATCACCACTTGGTTAATTACACAGTATATGTCATATTGGGGACGACATGAGGACGAGCTGAGGTGACTAACATAAATTGGAGTCGAATTCAAATTCAAATTACAGATCATTATAACATAACATAATATCAAATGAATATAGGAAACGAGAGCGGTATATTAGAAACAAGAGAGGAGGGCACCGCCCTTGTGTCCGGTTCCCTATCGATTAGTTAGTATTCTTACCTCTGCCAGATCGCAAGCTAATTTCTGATGCTCGATGGTAACAGCTTGTGTGAACGCAAACTTCTGCATCGCAGTCAACATGTGTTGTATCAGATACTGAAAGTAAATAACTTGACGGTGAGTGATTATAGGTGAAGATAATAAGTTAAATTTAAATGCAGTTAACATAGCCATTATTTTAAACTTTTTAGGATATTATAGAAAATATGTCGAGTTATGTATAGCATGACGTATAGACCCATAACTGTAAAAAAGTGCGACAAAAAGTGCTTAGAAATGGAAACTTAAATGTTGAACTAAATAATCAGAAATGTTAAACTAAATTAAACTAAATTAACCTAAATCAAACTAAATTAACCTAAATGAAACTAAATGAAACTAAATGAAACTAAATGAAACTAAATGAAACTAAATGAAACTAAATTAAACTAAATTAAACTAAATGAAACTAAATGAAACTAAATGAAACTAAATGAAACTAAATGAAACTAAATGAAACTAAATTAAACTAAATTAAACTAAATGAAACTAAATGAAACTAAATGAAACTAAATGAAACTAAATGAAACTAAATGAAACTAAATTAAACTAAATTAAACTAAATGAAACTAAATGAAACTAAATGAAACTAAATGAAACTAAATGAAACTAAATGAAACTAAATGAAGCTACACACCTGCCTCCAAAGATAATAAACGCGGTACTGTTTAACTATCAAGTTAAGTAAATGTACTAGTTGCGAGACGGTGTGACCATCCTCTACTATTATCTTCTTAGTCCAGTGATATAACATCGCCTTACCGTCGTCCATTCGTCCTGGATTATTATAGTTAATTGGTTAATTAGTTAATTTACCAGTTTTACTTTTTGAGTTTGGAAAAATATAGTTTGTTTTTGCAGGATTGCCTGTTTCTGGGTTCGGCTTTAAAAACTTTTAAAAACTAAAAAAACAGTAATGTTTTAATCAGATCGTACATAGTGCCATAATATGGCAATGGTTGAAGTTGTAAACAATAAGAGGACAATTAGAGGACAATTAGAGGGCAATTAGAGGACTTACTGGGCATAGCAGGGGTGATGATCTCCAAAGCTTGGAACACTACGCTTCTACACTCTAGATTGTGTGCCTTCAGCAAACTGTGGAACACCTGACAGGGGAGAGTTCAATTAAATAAACTTATCAGTTGGTGCAATTAAATAAACTTATCAGTTGGTGCAATTAAATAAACTTATCAGTTGGTGCAATTAAAGAAACTTATCTGTTGGTGCATTTAAAGAAACTTATTGATCAAAAAAGTTCATAATCTAATTAATTAATCAATATCATATCAGTTCATTCAAAATTTCAAAAAATCAAAGTTATCAGCTAAATTGACATTTAATTTTACCGAATATTATTCAATCATGTACTTTTCAATAGAATAATTTAAAGTGATGATTAATTGACCAAGTTATGAGATAATTAACCTGAATAACGATCTTCTTGTTTATGGGGAATTTGCTGATGATAAGGGAGAGAACTAAGTGACCGTAGTATTTAGTGGTAGGGTCCTGACTGGATTTGGGTAACATGCTCGGCCATGCGTACTTCATCAGCTTCCTTAGTTTGTCTCCTTCTGAGGTTGTGGTACATTTGGTTACTTAGTAACTGAGTAACATTAGTAACTATCAGTAACTATTAGTAACTGAGTAACTGAGTATCTATTAGTAACTATTAGTAACTATTAATAACTGTTAGTAACTATTAGTAACTTTAAATATTTAGGCAATAGGTGTTTGCATAATAAGTGTTTGCATAATATATCCAGGTGGATATTAGAATATAAATTATGAAAACAGTAAATCTAACTCTATCTTCACTATCCCTACCCGTATATTAGCTCATTAGGGCCATTAGGGGTATTAAGGCCACATGAGGCACCGGTAAATCTAACCTTGTCTCCTGGTACAGTTGGTGGGGTGGATGTACTCAGCAGCATGCCGTACAAACTCAGCAGACAGCTTCAGCAGATGTATCCTGACTACATCCAGAATGTCCCGCTCGTCTACTATTATCTGAGATCAAGGGTTTATTACTTAGTGATGTTAATTGGTTACCAAGTAACTCGTCATGTTTTCAGGTTCCATGAAGACGTTGATATGGTTAACTACTAACTAGTCACCAAGTAACTCACCCTATTTTCAGGTTCCATGAAGACGTTGATATGGTTAACTAGTTACCAAGTAACTCACCCTATTTTCAGGCTCCATGAACACGTTGATGATATTCTCTGCCGGGTTTGCATTTCCGTCTAGTCCCTGACTTCCTTCAATAAGTTTCTCTGTGTCGTTCTTCTCGAACGAGTATTGGAACATGGGTACTATGATGTACTGTAGGATTTTACCTGTGAAACAAGGTTTTTATTTTATTACATTATGTTTAAGTAGATTAGAAATGGACACAGATTTGTTGCTGGAACTGGGAGGAACGCGCATTTAAACAAACTCAAAAACTAGGTTACTTCTTGACTTAGTAACTAAGATTAGGCACAATCTATGTTTAATAGTAACTAACAATGCAACAAATGAACCGAATTGTAATATATTAGTAACTAAATAACAACTAAATAACAACTAAATAACAACTAAATAACAACCAAATAACAACTAAATAACAACTAAATAACAACTAAATAACAACTAAATAGTAACTTAACAAAGGAAGCATCAATTATTAATTTACCCTTGAGCTCCTGAGTCCAGCGTGGTGGACGGCCCTGTACGTTAGGAGCCTGGAATATCTCCACAAACTTAAAGAAACACGCTCTCCTCTGATCTATCGTGAACCTAGGAGGAAGATGTATTATGGTTAATGTTCAGCCAAACTTTATAACAGAAAACGTCTCCAGCTCTTGAAATTGTGTGAAAAGTAAAAGGAACACTGACTTTATGATTCCCAGAAAAGGGAACATCATTATAACTCCTACACAGAAAGGAGATGAAGAGCAAATATTAATTAATTAATTACCCTTCTATAACATTGTTTTGAATGTGATCTTGCAGGAACTTTATGTTAGGGACGTAGATCGCATCGTAGATCCGGAGAAGTTGGAACAGCAACTCAAAATCGTGTGGGTTGCACTGTAGATACCTCAACAAACACTTCGCCAACAGCTAGGGAACATCAATCAATTAGCTAATAGAATAATTAGGTAATAATTAAATAATTATCAGTTAACTAGCTTTGCAAATAATTACACAAACAAATTTGATTATAATTTTTTGGGTACTCGATCACAAAACCAGCCTAAACAACTGGAAACTTAGTTACGAATCCAAAAACATCCTGTGAATAACAGAAATCGTGACAGTCTCTCACTTATTCTACATACATCATAACTATAATGCAAATGCATTAGCCCTAACCTTAGGTTCACGCCACTGGTGAGTGGGTATCTGTAACTTATCAGGGTTCTTGAACCGCTCTTGAAACTGAGCCTGGTTCCAAACTGCCCGGAGGTGGTTCACTATCTCTCGGTTCTTGGAGAGGAAGTCCGGTTCGTGCTTCACCAGCAGCGAGATTATCAGGGTGCCCTGGGGTGATGATGTGATTAATTCAAGCTAGTAATATCAATTATTATGTAATAGTTTATAATAATTTAGAATGTAATAGCTCAATCGATTAGTCCACGTGACATTGTGATGACGTCACGTGACAGTGTAATGACGTCACGTGACAGTGTGATGACGTCACGTGACAGTGTGATGACGTCACGTGACAGTGTGATGACGTCACCAACCTGGAAGAGAACCTCCTGGTATCTCATACTAATATCTGAAATGGCAGTGTAATCCCCATCGTGTGTCTGTTGGCTGATAGCCCCGAGTAGGTTCATTGGCATGCCACACAGGTGAGCTCTTAGTGGACCTGTGTAGTGTGCTAGTTACACAGCAATAAAGAACTATTGACACAAACTAACATACACACGAACAATGAACATACACACGAACAGACAAACTAATAAACAGACAAACTAACGAACACACGAACAGACAAACTAACAAACACACGAACAGACAAACTAACAAACACGTGAACCAGCGAACTAACAAACACGCGAACAAACAAACTAACGAACACACGAACAATGAACATACACACGAACTGACAAACTGACGAACACACGAACAGAGAAACTAACAAACACACAAACTAACAAACACACGAACAATGAACATACACACGAACAGACAAACTGACGAACACACGAACAGACAAACTAACAAACACACAAACTAACAAACACACGAACAGAAAAACTAACAAATACGCGAACATACAAACACACGAACAGACAAACTAACAAATACGCGAACATACAATCTAACAAACAAACAAATTAACAAACCAACCTCCTTCGTTGTGTTTAAGGAAGTTGTAGAACATTCTGTTCATGCTGGGTTCGTGAAGTTCCTTCAGGAACAGGTCAATAGCATCACCAGGGTGCTTTAGCACGTACTTAAATAAACCCTCCTAAGGTGATTACAGGTTTGAGAAATCTGTTCAACAGTATATTATATCAGGGTGCGTTGGGCTTGTGGAAAAGCAATAACCATTCTTGCAAGAAATCAGCTATTTCGCAGAAAATTAAACAAATCCGCGTGTTGATTTTGCTATTGCTCAACATAAAATAGACATGAAAACAGAGATAAATAGCATTAATGCTATATAATATTACCTGGAAAACAGAGATAAAGTTATAATGTTACCTGGAAAGGACTGCCGACCTCCACATTAAGATATTTCTCAGCTCTAACTACGAGAGAGATAAGCGTGCTGAAGAAGTTTTTAGAGGGAGGTGGAACCAGATGAAATGTGTTGATTATTGCTTTGCATCGGAGTATTTCCTCTGAGAAACCGTTTGGAGTTCGCTGTGATTTAATTAGCTCATTAATTAATAAAATTATAGTTAATTGATTATTTGGATTCATTAAACGTTTAAAACTCTTGCTATGTCTAGTGTCTACATAAGAAGATAAGAATTTAGGGCATTACAAACCTTGATGGAGTGCTGGTGAGGGCATTACAAACCTTGATGGAGTGCTGGTGAGGCATTACAAACCTTGATGGAGTGCTGGTGAGGGTTGGCAGAGAAAATATAATTCTCCATCCACTTTTTAAGATGCTTCAGCAGCTGGTCGCAGAGCTTGTCATTAAACAGAGTGGAGAACAGTTCCATTAAGTGGGTCAGAACCTGAAGTTAAACAGATTAGCTAATTAGTTAATCACATTTAATTATATTAGCTAAGTAGATGATTGTTTTTGTTACCCCGCTTATACAGAATATAATTGAACAGAAACCCAGTTCAAATTGTTCGCCATCTAACAAAGTGTGAGTATGTTGTATGTGTAGACGAGGGAGGGTGGGGTCGGGGCACGAGCAGTGGCGTAACGTTGCCTGTTGGCGCCCCCTATTGGCATCAGGCACCCCCTCCCTAAAATTGAACAAATTAGGTGATTTTAGAAGATACGCCGGTAAAATCTCTTAAGGGGGGTGGGGGGGGGTGCACGAAAGGGGGAGGGGCCGGGGGCAGTAGAAAACATCCCTCACCTCCAGAAGATGGACAGTAAGATGTTTCCAGTCGGTAAGCTGAGTTAACAAGGGTCGGATCTCCTTGTGGACAGTGTCCAGTACTATGTCATCCTTTTTGTTCTTCTGGTAGAGCTGGATGGAGTCTTTAGCACAGAGCTGGAGCTCCTTGTCTGTGCCGGTGAGGATATCGTACATTACCTGAGAGATAAGGCTGGTGAAGAAGGCGTTATCAGTGCAAATAGATTGGAATTTAAGATAATTTAGTAGTAGTGGTAGTAGTAGTAGTAAAGATAATGACTAACTATGTTATCTGCACAAATAATGACACTGGGATATCAAGTTTATAGTGTATACTGTATAGTGTATACACTACAAACACTAAAAACACTACAGGAGCGGCAGGAGGTAAAACGTGATATTAATATTTGGTCACACCACGTGACATTTAAACTCCAAACCTTGAAAATCTCAGGCTCGTGTTGAGTCAGATAATGGCAGTAGGAGAGGACTTTGAGAGCAGTTTTCTTCAGAAGAGTGATATTGGAGGATTTCTTGTAGCAGCTGAACTTGCTCAGTAGTTCCGCAGGAGAAAGACCACAAATAGTCAGTACTTCTTCCAGCTGCTTCTTCCTGCCCTGCCCTTCAGCAGTCGGCTGAGGGGAAGATGATTATGCTGACTTGATTAAGAACAGTTATTTCAAATGATTGAATTTGTTAGATATTGCCAAACATTGGGAAGGATGTTTCCAGGGGATCACTAACCGTAACATCCAGGGTAATGAGTCTCGGTTCTAGAGACGAGCAGAAAACAATTGACTCCATACAGGCGAGTTGTTTGGTCTCAGGAAGTGTGAATAGGGACTGCTTCTTAGGCCAAACCTGAACAAAGACTAGCTTTTAAAATTGGAGACAGATTTAATTTCTTCGTGAATTCTATACAATGCGCGCGAAGTGGAGCGTGCTTGGCGCGTAAATCTTAAGAGCCACGTAAAGTCCGTTTGGCGGCCGCGCCATCCGCAATTCACTAACAAAGCAAAAGATCACATTTGCGGGAAACACTGCCAATCATAGTTAAAAACATCGGCATTTTATGAGTGAAAAAAATGCTCATAGATACACATTAACAAAACGAACCGTCTCCGTTATAAGATCTTTGGGAAGGCTGGGAGGTTCCAACATTTCCTTGACGGTTTTACCGGTGACCTCGGAAAGTACCAATAATGCCTGTCTCGCTTGCTTTCTGACCACTGGATACGGAGACATAATATCTTTTACTAGCAAATGTACTACCCCGTGGAACACCTGAATAAACATTAACTTGTTACAAATCTGTTACACATCTGTTACACGTATGTGATATGTTGCACATCTGTTACAAATCTGTAACACATTTGTTACATAGATACATTTTTATAATTGTGATTGTTTCTATTGTTTGTCTCTTGGCAATTACACAACAACTAATTAGACTTTCATCTGAATAATATAACACAACTTTAGCACAGTTAAAAACCCCTTATAAAACACCTTCTCCTGAGCGGCGCTTATAGCAGGTAACGGGTTAGGAGTGTTACAGTGTCTCATTATCTTCTCATAGAGAGCCTGGGCTCTACCCATGGTACCGTACGACACTTCCTCGTGTAGATCTAGTGGAATATGGGTTTTCGTGGATAACTTTGTTCATAATTATTAATACTGTGTAATGATTCTGGGGTTTGATTGGTCGATAGTCGAAGCTGATTGGTTAAATTCTGTCACGTGCCAAAAGATACGCCTCACCTCCCACTAGATTCCACAACTTTAACAGTCTCCTTAGATAATTTCGTTCATATTTTTTCGAATAATGGATACATTTTTGTTGAAATGATGGCACACATGCGAGGTAAGTACTATTAATTACCTATCATGATGTAAATTGTAGCGTTGATGAACAATTGCTGATTTCGTATCGTCCTGAAGTTAATGTTGACAGTCAAATTAAAACACTAAACTAACATGACTATAAACATTTACATCGTGATGACTCAGTCACACAATACACAATTACACAACCAGTCACATGATTGGTAAAGTCACGTGATAGCAATAACAAAGTCACGTGATAACACTAACAAAGTCACGTGATTACCATAATAAGGGAGCATTGTTGATGAGCCACTCTATCGCAGTCACACCCCCGACCTTAGTGTACCAGGCCCGCTCATAACACAAGTCCACACAACTTATCCACCAACACGTCAAAGAAGGGGATCTGGAACGCGCGCTCAGCGGACCCTAGTGGAAATAAAGAAATAGTAGACTTGATAGAAAGCTATCAATCAGAGGAAGGAACTAACACCACGTGACACAGTACTAGTCTTGACTTCTTGGTGAGGAATGAAAATTAATTATTATCACAACACGTTTAAAAGCACTAAATAACAGTTCCTTACCAAGAATATACTTGCAGGTTTCTGTAACAAGTCTTATAGCTTTCTCTCCAATGTTCGCTAGTTCACTCTGCTCCGAGCCCATACACTCAGCTATAACGTCTACTAGCACGTGTACATCCAGCGAGTTTGTGGACTGAGGTGGTTATTATCAAATCATCACACGTGTTATAAAGTCACGTGACGTCACGCCATGTTTTGTGACGTCACGCCATGTTTTGTGACTATAATCACGTGGCGCAAAAGAGAATTATGTTTAATAACAATTATACCAAAACTTTATTACTTCCACATGAGAAGCTAAACTCTAACAAATTAGAAGAGAAAAGAGAAAAAAAAAGATTATAAAAAGGAAGAAAAAAAAAAGAGAGAAAGAAGAAGCTAGAGAAAAGAAAAGAAACTCCAACAAACTTACCTTCTTTTTTATTGGAAAGACACCAGACTGCTGAACAACTGTCAATAAAGAGAAATGCCTCACAACGCTCATCATAAACTGGGTGGTGTCCGTCCTTAACTGCTTGGTTGCTGTAGCTACAAACAAACTGAAACACAAGGAAATGTTCTAAAGCAGTATTATCTGTAAAATATATATAGTTAGTCTAATTATGATTTTCTGAAAACAAAACAGGGTAAGTTTTACGTTCTTGTTATAATAACTATGGATACGTTAGCAGCACCCATCTAATCATAGACTTCAAATCACGCTCCATCATAGACTGTTTTACTCTGAATTTCACTCTGGAAATATTATCGAATCCTTTACTGTAATATTTTATAGTAACAAGTTAATAGCTTACTAATTAGTTAATAGCTTACTAATTATTTAATAGCTTACCCCATCAAGGCAGTCTTGAAAGCACTTCTTGTAGGTTCGTCTGTGCAAACAAAGCTGTTTTTAGGGGCAACTTGAGGGTGGGGGGCTTGAGACTGCAATATTACACAATTACTCTTTATTGCTACAAAATTGGGAAAATGGTCACTTAATTGAACAAGGTTAACCTTACCCTTTCCTTTCATGAAATCTCAAAACAGTACTAACACGGTGTCACGTGGTGTTAGTAACACCACGTGACACAAACAGATAACTAAGCATGTAGGATGTTGCACCTGTTTTCTACTGATAGTAGCGAGAAGCTTCTGTATCTGCAACGTGGTATCACCAAGGTTTATCATGGCTATAATATAGCTCTGACACACGTGTAAACTGTGCTGCATGTAGAATAAGTCCTTGTTCGGGGACTTTAAGATGTGGAGGGCGTGATCAAGTACCTGAAATAGGGATTAGCCAATCATGAGCTAGTATCTTAGACACTTGATATAATTCTCAAATTGATAACGAAGAATTCTTGTTTACATAAAAAATTATTGATTCATAATATACGATAAGTTCTAAAAACTACATACTATTTTTAAGTAAATATTATGTAAATTAACACAATTAATATTAACGTTTAAACAACACTCCCGATTAAAACAAGGAATTCTCACCCTCTGAATAGGAAGCTTGACAGGGTAGTTGCAGTTTGGGAACCAAACCAGTACACTAGCTGCAGTAGCGTCTGGGTGGACGTACTCTAACTTTGGTGCGTCTTGTAGTGTCTTTCTGTTCCGTGCACCGCACTTACCTGCACGTGCAAATGGTTACAATTTCACACGGTGCACGTGCAAAGTAGTACACGTGCAAAGTACAAGGGTTAATATGATGATATATAACCCCCGCCCCAGCACCTCGGTTGACGTTTACTAGAAGCAGTCCTTAGATTGCTCCTCTTTTTGCAGAATGATATGTATTGGTCTCAAATCCTGCTCTAATTTTATCAGGTTAAACTTTACACAAATAAAAATAAATCCTTGTGTTTGAACAAGGTGAACATACCGAGCACTCTGAAAGCGGTTTTAGCGTTGTTGTCGTTCTCACTAGAGTTCTGCAGGGTTTGCCATAAAGACTGTATCAACTCAGCACGTACTGGCTTCCAGAGTTTTTTAATTAGTTAATTAATTAATTCTTTAGTATTTAACAAACTTTTACAGAATTATAGTTAGTTTATGAGTAAATATGGCGATTATTTTTAACAACTTGATCCAAACCATTAGAATATTTACATTATGGACTACCACCTCATTCAGTTGAAACTTCAAAAAGTAACTTGATATATTAAGAGATATCCATAATATTACTTAAATATACCTCTATTTTATCATAGAAGAAGTTTGGTTGTAAGTTATCAATACAGAGCTCCAGAGTTCGTAACCCTTGCGCTATTAACGTATTTGATCCTGCACCTCAAGGAAATTTGTTATCAGAGAGTATTACAATTAATGGTACTTAAAAACGTTTTCCACATTTTTGTTATTATATAATACTAGAAAGCCCGTGGTAACAGGGACGAAGCTAGTAGTATTCTTTGAAAGAAAGTTTTAATCGCATCAAAAAATATCCATCTCAACCGAAGATACAGCCGATTTAAATAGAAAACACTTTAAACACAACGTAATTACCACAAAACCGATCAAAATGACGTTAAAACAATCTTTGCACGTGCACGTGCGCATTAAAACACCGTTGCTATGGAACGTTTTGGTTGTTACCTAAATTCCTATTTTTCGTCTAATTTGCACGTGGGCGGTCGTACATACATACATACAACAAAAACAATTCTTTGAATTATTATATAACTAGAAAGCCCGTGGTAACAGGGACGAAGCTAGTAGTATTCTTTGAAAGAAAGTTTTAATCGCATCAAAAAATATCCATCTCAACCGAAGATACAGCCGATTTAAATATAAAACACTTTAAACACAACGTAATTACCACAAAACCGATCAAAATGACGTTAAACTTAAAACAATCTTTGCACGTGCATGTGTGCATTAAAACACCGTTGCTATGGAACCTTTTAGTTGTTACCTAAATTCCTATTTTTCATCTAATTTGCACGTGGGCGGTCGTACATACATACAGCAGAAATAATTCTCTGAATTATAGTAGAGATATACTAGATCCGATTTTTATTCAATATTTTATGTCCCCGGGGGTTCCAAATAAGCGTTTGGAGGTTTTATATTTTTAGATTTAAAACGATAATAAGTAGTAACCCAAAAAATCTATTTCAACATTGATATAAAAATGTAAAGTATGTAAAATATCACAGGGTTTACCATTGAGAGCGGACACAAGGGGGTCCATTAGAGCAGGAAGATAAGGCAGCAGATTACTCAGTCTGACTGGTACCTGTAGTTAATTAGCTTAATTAACAATTAACTCATTAATTATCTAGTAATTAATAAGTTTAACTCGCCATCAATTTCACTCATTCACGAAACTTATCCGGGTTCACATTATAATAATGTTTGATATTAAACGGTTCATGGTTTATATTTAGTCAGTCACCAAAATGGGTACGAAATAATCTTAGCATAAAATATTATCACGTGGTTACTGCAGCTGTCACGTGGTTACTGGCTCGTACCGTTAAACAGAGTTCTATAAAGATATCCTTCATCTGTTGTTTGTGTACACCGCTCTGGAGTCTGTTCAGACTCTGCAGTAAACTGGGGAGGAGCGGGAGGAACTCACTATACATCTCATCATACTTCGTACTGGTGCTGCCTGAGGTGTGAGGTCACTATTTAGCTTACTCGTTAATCAATTAAATAATCAATTAGTTGTACTGGTGCTGCCTGAGGTGTGAGGTCACTATTTAGCTTACTCGTTAATCAATTAGATAATCAATTAGTTGTACTGGTGCTGCCTGAGGTGTGAGGTTACTATTTAGCTTACTCGTTAATCAATTAGATAATCAATTAGTTGTACTGGTGCTGCCTGAGGTGTGAGCTTACTATTTAGCTTACTCGTTAATCAATTAGATAATCAATTAGTTGTACTGGTGCTGCCTGAGGTGTGAGCTTACTATTTAGCTTACTCGTTAATCAATTAAATAATCAATTAGTTGTACTGGTGCTGCCTGAGGTGTGAGGTTACTATTTAGCTTACTCGTTAATCAATTAGATAATCAATTAGTTGTACTGGTGCTGCCTGAGGTGTGAGCTTACTATTTAGCTTACTCGTTAATCAATTAGATAATCAATTAGTTGTACTGGTGCTGCCTGAGGTGTGAGCTTACTATTTAGCTTACTCGTTAATCAATTAGATAATCAATTAGTTGTACTGGTGCTGCCTGAGGTGTGAGCTTACTATTTAGCTTACTCGTTAATCAATTAGATAATCAATTAGTTGTACTGGTGCTGCCTGAGGTGTGAGACCGTTACTATTTAGCTTACTCGTTAATCAATTAAATAATCAATTAGTTGTACTGGTGCTGCCTGAGGTGTGAGCTTACTATTTAGCTTACTCGTTAATCAATTAAATAATCAATTAGTTGTACTGGTGCTGCCTGAGGTGTGAGGTTACTATTTAGCTTACTCGTTAATCAATTAGATAATCAATTAGTTGTACTGGTGCTGCCTGAGGTGTGAGCTTACTATTTAGCTTACTCGTTAATCAATTAGATAATCAATTAGTTGTACTGGTGCTGCCTGAGGTGTGAGCTTACTATTTAGCTTACTCGTTAATCAATTAGATAATCAATTAGTTGTACTGGTGCTGCCTGAGGTGTGAGCTTACTATTTAGCTTACTCGTTAATCAATTAGATAATCAATTAGTTGTACTGGTGCTGCCTGAGGTGTGAGACCGTTACTATTTAGCTTACTCGTTAATCAATTAAATAATCAATTAGTTGTACTGGTGCTGCCTGAGGTGTGAGCTTACTATTTAGCTTACTCGTTAATCAATTAGATAATCAATTAGTTGTACTGGTGCTGCCTGAGGTGTGAGCTTACTATTTAGCTTACTCGTTAATCAATTAGATAATCAATTAGTTGTACTGGTGCTGCCTGAGGTGTGAGCTTACTATTTAGCTTACTCGTTAATCAATTAGATAATCAATTAGTTGTACTGGTGCTGCCTGAGGTGTGAGCTTACTATTTAGCTTACTCGTTAATCAATTAAATAATCAATTAGTTGTACTGGTGCTGCCTGAGGTGGGAGGTTACTATTTAGCTTACTCGTTAATCAATTTAATAATCAATTAGTTGTATGGTTATCATTATTTTCTTACAATAAGAAACCTTATTCCAGTGCTTAAACCTCAGAATAACTGAATTACCTATAGCCCTGAAGAGTAGTCTCAGTAGCGTAAAGTAAGGAGCAGGATCTTTAGCAGTCTGCGCTAGCACCATACTCTGGTTAACTATCCTCTGTAGGTGAGGCTTCAGTATACCGTCCGCTTCCACGTCATCACGGTCACCACCTGATAGTGAAAGTGAAAGTGAAAGTGAAACTGTTAATCGTACTCTTGACATCAATAAAGTCACCAACAACAAACAACAGCACGTATGAACAAATCTAAACATGGTATATGAACCACGTGACTAAATTCAACAATCGAAAACAAAGCAAATATACTCGTACCCTGATTTTGAACGGAACCGAAGAGTAGTTTAAAGAGTCGGGTGTAAAGGACGGGTCTGTCGTTAGCGTCACTTTCTCCTAGTCCCATATCTTCCAGTTTGTTTACAAGGTATTTAGCTAGCTGACACGCGAATATAGCGGAGCAAGGAGAGTTGTGCAGCATGCTGTCTCTCGATACTGAAACACAAGATTTTATATTTTAGTGTGCTGTCTCTTGAGACTGAAACACAAGGTTTTATATTTTAGTGTGCTGTCTCTTGAGACTGAAACACAAGGTTTTATATTTTAGGGAGCTGTCTCTCGATACTGAAACACAAGGTTTTATATTTTAGTGTGCTGTCTCTTGAGAGTGAAACAAAAGGTTTTATATTTTAGTGTGCTGTCTCTCGACACTGAAACACAAGGTTTTATATTTTAGTGTGCTGTCTCTCGATACTGAAACACAAGGTTTTATATTTTAGTGTGCTGTCTCTTGAGACTGATTAAGGAATCAAACATGCAAAATTTAACAACTACTTCTCAAATATAGCTTCAAACATTAAAGCACAGATTAGTGCTAGACAAACTTTTGATCCTGGGGGTTTTAGTAGATATCTTAGGAACCCAACATCGAATTCGATGTATCTTAGGCCGGTAACACCAACTGAGGTGAGTGAAGTGATTCTAAAATTTAAGAATAAGTCAACACTGGATACCAAAATTGGGCCGATGAAAGTCGCAAACCATGATAGCAAGTTCACCGGTGTGATTTCTACTATCATAAACTCATCATTTACACAGGGCATATTTCCAACTGCTCTTAAAACTGCACGCGTAATCCCTATCCACAAGAGAGGTAGTAAGACAGATGTCACTAACTATAGACCCATATCTCTTCTTAGCTCATTCTCAAAAATTTACGAAAAGTTAATGCACACTAGAGTCCTTGAATTTCTTGATAAAAACGGCTCTCTGTTCGAAAGCCAATACGGCTTTAGACCGGGGATGTCATGCGAGCATGCTATTCTTAATGCACAGAACTCTATCCTTCATTACCTTGGCAGGAAACAAATTGCGGTGCTCCTACTGTTAGACTACTCCAAAGCTTTCGACCTACTTGAACATAAAATTTTGCTTAAAAAACTGGAACACTACGGAATTAGAGGTATAGCACTAAGCTGGTTCGACTCCTATCTTCACGATCGTCATCAGTTCGTCACAGTCAACGGGGTTGATTCCAGTCCCAAGACGATCAATTATGGTATTCCTCAAGGCTCTATTCTGGGCCCCCTACTCTTCGTCATCTATATAAACGACCTCCCCGGAATCTCAGACCTGGCCAAGTTCATACTTTACGCCGATGATGCAAATATTATAGTCACGGGCCATAACGAGGAAGAAATTCAAAGTAAGCTCTCTATGATTGCAACACTTCTAGTGAATTGGGTAAGTAGCAACGGGCTTTCTTTAAACCTGAAGAAGACCCACTATATGGTCTTCAGTAACCGTAAAGTAGATTATTCCAAAATAAGTCTCAACATATCTGGAACAAACATTGAACGGGTTACTGAGGCACGGTTTCTGGGTGTTATAATTGATGAGAAACTAACATGGTGTAAACATATCACAGCGGTAAGATTAAAAATGAGTAGGTACATAGGCATCATGTTCAAATTAAAACGACATCTGCCCCTAAAAGTGCGACTACAACTCTACCATAGTTTTATTGAGGCACATGTTAACTACTGCTCGTTAGCCTGGGGATTCGCGGCAAAATGTCACATTGCATTGAGACATTATTCCGTAAACAAAAGCAAGGAATGCGGATGGTTATGCCAGGATATGTAAATTACTTTTACAAAGACGGCAAATTGCCAGCTCACACCAGAGAAGCATTCTGCAAATTTGAGATTTTGACAATACACGGCATCATCGTAAAGAATGCGCTTACATTAATGCACCGCATGAAGCACTTTCCTAACACAGTACCTGTATCAATTAGAAATTTGTTTCCAGATAACATACCCACGCATGGTTCAAATCATGAGAACAGTAGCGAATGGCTAGATACGTACAATAACCGATGTTTCAAAGCATCCATCTTTTTTAAAGGACCTTTACTAGCTCTAACAGACACCAACAAGAACATCACGTCCCTACCTAGCTTATTTTCAATAAATATTTACAAATCGAACGCAAAACGCGTGCTTCTTGAGCAACAGTCAACACTAGCTAACTCAGAGGACAGCTGGCCAGCATTTCTGCTACACAACGTACCTGGTTTGAGGAAGTCCAATAGATGAGGGATGATTGAGTAATACAGCGACCAATAATCGCTAAATCATGACATCATATCATAACATAACATAACATAGGACGACAGCAAACACACAATAAACGAGCAGTAATAAACAACGTTCGCTTAATGGACTGACATATTTCAGCATATTTTTCACTGCCAAAGCGCTGATAACAGCAAGCCTTACCCCACTCCGCGCGGCTTTTTAATGCACAAAATCTTAAAGATAATTCTCGCGATAAAATTTTCATCCTCACGCTTGAAAATTTCTAGAAATTAGAATAGCCGTATATTATAACAAACTATAGCAAGCAGAATTAAAAGATAAAAGGTTCTGGGACTTAAGTGGTACAAATAAAATGAAAGGCATGCTGATGCTAATCATGCTTACGTACTGTAATGTGTCGAGAGTTTTTTTTTAAATTTTTACTATTTGACAAAATAATTGATCTTTTTAGTGTGAGTGTGATTTCAACTTTGAGTTTGAAAATATTTTGAAACGACTTTCGATATTATTGATTATTATATTATATTTAATAAACTGTCTCAAAGCCCTTAGAGGTGGCTCTATACGGGTCTTTACAACAACAACATGTACTTTAGACTTACAGATGTTTTCTTGCTAGAATAGTACAAGATACAAAAACAATTGTTGTGAAGACAAAAACAACAACTTAAGATATGAAAATATCTAAAGATATTAAAAGCACTTTAAACGAAACTCAGAACCATTTCCTTGTCAAGCTCACCCATAAAGTAGTGTGGTATCATGGTAAGAGAATGGTTCTCTTGTATACTGTCTATCAGATAATCCATATTCGTCTCGAACACCTGAACAGTATTTGTAACTGATTTGTTATAGTCATCAAATAAAACAGTAAAGCTAGCGCAGGTCTACAATTATCAGCACCATGTACTAATAACTAACGTTAACATTGAACAGTCATAGTTAGTTTAGGAAGATTAATCTTATAGAGAGTCTACTGCTATCCTCCCGGGATATATTAACCAATCATTAACTATCCCAACTATTAATTAAATTCACTTAATTAAATAATTAATTAACTAATCAACTATTAACTATCAACTATTAACCAATCATTAACTAAAAAGTAACACTATATTTCCCACTTAATCAGTTGACTCACCTCCCTGAAGGTGCTCCTGCTAGAATACACAAAGACACTAGCGAAGTGCTCCACAATATCCTTCTCCTCCTTCGACCTGATCTGGCTGTTGATGGCTGCCCGTACGTACGTGACCCTGTTCGGCGGTGGTCCAACCTGAGGGACGGTGGCTAAAGTCAGGGAGGCAGTGAATGTGTGTTCAGTGGTTTGTAGGTTCCTTGGCTCCAGGGTTTGACAGCCAGAATTGGTTTGAAGCTCCGATAATATGGTGAGTACACAAAGATGATTCCCGTACTGTAGTGCGACACGTACCCTAGTGCGACACGTACCCTAGTGCGAAACCTTCAAGATCGACACTGTCGCACTAGAGTACGCTACCTGGATCCTAGTGCGACACGTACCGTAGTGCGACAGAGAATTTTCAAGGCCGACACTGTCGCACTTCAGTGCGCTACCTGGACTGTAGTGCGACACGAACTAAAGTGCGACAAAACACTTAAATCACATTCAATAAAAAAAATTTGACATTGCAATATCATGTTTTTAATCCGGCCATGACAGCATCCCGTTGATTCCAGATCCAGTGAGCGTAGAGGGGAGAGGAGGTTTGTGTTCCGACCCAGGTACGTTCGTAGTAGTCAGCAAAGGAATCCATCTCCGGGGGAAGGGTTTCTTTCACTTTCAGCTGCGTCCAGGTATCCAGTATGTCTCCAAGGTCCACGAAGGCAATGGCACCGATCATCTGAAAGTACTTCCGTACTGCTGAGTTCTCTGCGTTGTATTCCGGGACTAAGTCATGTTACTGATGTTGTTCGATGCTTCGGTAGAATCATCGTGACCTTATATATGGCCCAAGCATATGAATTTGTTATCCCAATCGGAGATAACAAATTCATATGCTTGGATATACCTTCATACGAAGCGTGTGATAGGAATGAGGATCATATGCTGCTTACGAGTTACCCAGTGGATCACATACTGCATACGTGGCTTGAACTGACCCGAAGGAATTATGATCAGTGGATCACTTCGAAATACATGATGTGTCGATGTGAACCGACGAATCGTATCCGCAAGATCACTTCGAAATAAGTGACGTGAACCGACCCGACGAGTCACCTAATGGTCCATAAAAAGGATAGGATGTGACCTGAACTTGGAAATAAGACAGGATCTTTGTCGCACTAGAGTACGCTACCTGGATCGTAGTGCGACACGTACGGTAGTGCGACAGAGGGTGTTTTTGTCGGACTTCGCACTAGAGTACGTGTCGCACTACAGTACGATTACCCACAAAGATAGAGAACACAATGTTTAAAATTGATTATTCACAATTAACATGACCAATAAAAAACTCAACGACATTTTTGTTAGCATGATGTAACATGTCATAATATTATCCCTGTATCCAGAAACTAGCATAATAAAGGTATATTATAAAGGTACGCACCTGTATCCGGTAGATGTTGAGGCATTTTAACCCGAATTTAAGGAGTCTAATAAACAGATAGGTCTCCCCTGGCTGGAACTTCTGTTGGTTTTGAGTAGGTGGGTGTTTGTAGGAACCCACCGTCCACGTGATCGTCTTTACTCCGCAAACTACCGGGGGAGAGAGAGTTTAGTTGGTATTGTTTAACTTTAACGTCGTTTAATAGCTTAGTTAACTTACAATTTGCTTGGAATTCATCATAAATTTGCTATTAGTTAATTGAACTGAATTTTTTAGATTTCGCAAACAGAAATTAGAAAATGAGTATGTTGAACATACTATGTTCTAACCCAGAGTTTAATTAATTTAATTCTAAATTTTTCTAACCCAAAGTTTTGACGAGGACTCTACAATCAGCTACAGCCACAGCTAGACTACTCTGTCCCTTCTTGTTGGACGCTGATGACATGGCTGCTTCGTTAAGAGCCTCCTGGTGCAACAGACATTATGTAAAGATAATAGTTGTGTATTTATTGGTATTAAAGGAACAGTACTGAAAAACAATACTGAAACAGATTTGCATTGCTTAAACAAATATAAAACTTAAATAGCGATAATATACGTTTTACGACAGAAAATAAGCGGTGATTTCAGTACCGATTTCATAAGCACGTCTGTGAAAGAGAAAGTGAAAGTGAAAGTGAAAGTGAAAGTGACGACTGTAACTTACTGCCTCGCGAGGGAATGAAGTGGGAATCTCCGTGCCGACTTGCTTGGCACATCTAGCGAAGAGTTTTGGTAACTGGTGTTTGGCTATCATCTGGAACTTTTGTACAAACACCTGGGACAACAATTTGTTAGTGGTTACTAAAGCGCAATAAGCAACATTTCAGGAAACTTTATCAATCAACAAGAGTACTAATAACCCAATTAGCAATAACACTTAAAGTACTAATCAGCTAATTAGTTAATTAGTTAATTACCTCCAGCATCCTCATCATCAGCTCACGTCCAGTATACAGTGTCTCCTTCTCACTCTTCTTATTGATAAAGTCCACAATGTTAATGAGGATTTTACATGCCATGTTCTGCATGCTTGGAGTAAGGTCACTGTCATGTACATTCTTACTGAACAGGTTCACTATTCCTGCTAGCTGCTTCAGTGACAACTTATCTCGTACCTGAGCGACGGAATGTGAGTCATATAATGATACATGTTAAAATAGGTTATTATCATTTATCAAAACAATTCCAATCAAATATTTTAAGTCCGTCAATGCTGCAGGGTCACGTTATCAGTTGACTTAAAGGACCAGTTAACTGAAAAAAAAGTTATACTCATATTTTGACAGATTGTGACAAATAGCAAACTAAGCAACGAGTCGAAATTCCTAAATCTCTAACTGCTCTCTAACGCGTGTAAATAGCGTTTGTATTATTTTGGCGATGACGTCACGAAGTCCCTTGCGCGCGCAGAGGAGCTCGTGAGAATGTATTTTACAGGTAAAAAATGGACATAATACAATGTTTTTCCCCGAATAACTCGAAAAGTAAGTAATTTAGGGTACATGTTGCTTCATAAGTTGTATATAAACATGGCCATTCTGCACAATTTGCACACATTCAAAAACCTTTAGGGCCTTCATAGCCCAATTTACCAGATACCCATAGTTTTGCATGATTTCTGGAACCGAAAATCAGTTTTTCGCCAATAACTGAAAAAGTAAGCACTTTAAGGCATATGTTTGTTCGTAAGTCATATATTAATATGCTAATTGCGGTTCTTTTGCACCCTGTCTAGTGTCTAAAGACTCTATCACGATCCTATCGAAAATGGGCTCAGCACCACGCCCAAAATGGTTTTTGGCGAATTTCTCGAAAAGTAAGGATTTTAGGCCATGTGTTGCTCGATAACTCCTATATAAACATGCATATGTGGCTTCGTTTAAGCCTATTTTGAAGTCTCTACGACCTTCAGAAGCAAGGGGTCGGTTACGTTATTGGGTCAATATGGGCGTGGTCCTCCTGGGTTTTCTCCACTGTCAAACAAATGTCTCCAAACGAAAATCGTTTATTCATACCTTCGGGAAGGTCTGTGCAAAGTTTCGTGAGTATCTGAACATTTGCAGGTTCATTTCCATAAATGTCCATAAATGACTGGATTACACAACTTTAGAGTTAACTTTAGAGAAACTCATAGTCATTTATCTCAAATTAAGCTGTTAGTGTCCATGATCAACCTGTGGCGACAATGTTTTACGTGAAATGTAAAAATCAGGAGTAATATAAAAAGTGTATTTTTAGATTAAAGTGCTAGCTCATAGTTTTAGAATTGTATAGATTAACGTTGGTCGTTTAACCATCTAACAATCGATCGTGCCGTATTAATATATGGCCAAAGAATAATAGGATCTTGGAAATTCTATATTTGTTCAGTGGGTCGATTGACTGAACACGTTTGCACTTGGTATTTAAACTTACCTGTAGTTTATTTATGTTATGTACCGATGATAATGCAATTAGGATAACAGCTAGGTAAGCCGAAGTATAATTCAAAACTGTAACACACCGCACACCGTACACTCCAATCACTATTACTATTTGGTAGACCGGGTATTTTGGCGGGAATTCTGTTCCCACGGCACTGTTCTGATAGAAGCTACTTCTACTAATGGTCCCAGAGGAACGGCCGTAAAGTAGCCAGACTTCTTGTCTCCTGTACTGGCTGACACATGCAGATTAAAGTTAGAAATTTCGCTATGCTATAAATATAATTGCTCTCGGAATTGAACAAACTAGCTCCTACTTATCTAGATCCTTTTAAATTCGTTAGAGTTTCATGGACTAGGGAAAAATAATCGGTACAGTCTCCCTGCTTGTGTAATTAAGCAATGAAAACAATCCAAAATTATCACATATGACATAAGAACTGTAATAGCAGAAACTTTCTAACCGTACATTCACCCGCCTCTGTCCAAGAACCTATATCACTGTTTAAAATCATGACGTGAGCACTGTACATCCAATCAGCTATTCCTTTAGTTAGGATGATAGCCAAAACTATAAGGATTTTGGAGAACTCGGGTAATAGTCATAATTCTAAAATTTGAGTGAGTAACACGTGTTTTAATGACAACGATAAACATTTGCAACGTATTACGCTATGCCAGCGCGCACTGAGGGACTTCGTGACGTCACGAGGCCACAGCTTATTATTGCAATAACACGCGTTACACGTACGCTAGAGAGTTGGTTCTTTCGGCGATACGATTCTTTACCAGTTTGTCACAGCTGATTTAAATCTTAGCCAAATTGGAGACTACAAATTTTTCAGTTAACTGGTCCTTTAAACCGGGGACACACCACTACTCATTCCCCTTCACCTCCTTCAGGTTTGCCATACCCCAGAGTAAGGCAGTGAGGCAGAGCATCCTCATGCTATCCTCTCGTGGGCCATCTAGGTCCAGCCTCTCTTAGAAAGGGAAAAAAGAAAGAAAATCACCTGGTGTATGAGATCAGCCAGGGTACTGTAAGCTAAACTTCTGCTCCCCTCCTTGTTGGTCCATCCTGTCCCGATCAACACACTCTCGTCCAACAGGTCGTCCATGAAGTTAACCATACGGTACCTGAAGCTCAGCGTCTCGGGTTGGTTGGCGGAAACGAGGTGTCTGCAAGCTACTATCACCTGATAGGGGGGAAATTACTAATCAGTTACTAATTAATTACTACTAATTAAGCTACTATCACCTGATAATTAGTAACTAATCAGTTACTAATTAATTACTATGATTTCGTTAATATGTCTAATAATTACCAGTTACCAGCCCTCCTTATTACTACGGTCGACAGTAATAGTCTGCACCATATAAACGATATAATACGATATAATACGATATAATACGATATAATACGATAGTTTGTAGTCTGTTCTAGTCTGGTGCTGTAAATAGTATAAAAGTAAATCCCACAAGTTCCTCTCTTTTTATTACCTCTCTTCTAAGATGAGGTGCTTCAGCGGGGCAGAACTTGAAGCAGGCAATGAGCCCCTTTATAAAGTTAACACTGTCGTTCTCTATGATCTCGTGATAGGGTCTGTGTTTTATCATGAAGGCTAGGAAGCTGATAGTCTTGATCTGGACCATGATGAAATCCACAAAAGCTTCTTGTACAAAGTGTTCGTGGTTTCTAGGGGAGAAAAAGGGTTAGCAAACTGGCTTATCGATTAAATTATCATCCAAATTAATTAATTAAATAGTAATTAGAGAGGGAGTTCACAATAATGGACAATACCTACACTAAAATGTAGAATTTAGACTCACGAATAGAAACAAACAAGACGTAGTGGTAAGGTTAAATAGCTCTCCACTATCACCAACATCTAGAAAATAAACAATCCTTACTTGATAGCATGCTCAGGGTGTAGAGTTAGAGTACTGTTGATCATAATGTGGATTAGTTTAGAAACATCTTCCTCGATCTTGCTCTGGTACGCTTGGTAGAAGATAACAACTTGTAGAGGCAAGTCTGCCAGTACTTTTAGTGACTGTGTGGCCTGAGGGTATTTATACCAGGCTAAAATGGGTAAAATATTTGATTTAATATCCCAAAATTTCCGATTTCATCAGGTCAATTGCAAAGGGACGTATTTCTAGATACATTTAAAAACTTCCGTATTTAATAATACATTATGTTAAAACATTAAATGTTATTATATATAATAATAACGTTACCTTGGGTATGTTTCTAGGTTCCCTCTGTCCCCCAGTTTGCCCAGATGGTGTCTCGTTAATCAGCACATGTCTCATTGTCATGGGCAGGTTGGTGAACGAGCCTATGACGAACTGGAGGAACTTGCGGATCTGAGAATAGTTAGAAAGTGTTAAAACTAATAAGTTATATTTCACCAGCAGCCTGCAGCCACGGCGGGGCGTGGGCTATCCCTGCTATGCGACACCGTATAGTAGTAGCCTGGATACGTTAAAATGATTGGTAACGGTGATTTTTGTGACATTTGTTAAGGTTAAAAAATATATAAATTCACCTCATTAGCAGCATCTTGAGCATCTTGCGGGTTTGTAGGTTTAAAAGTCTTGTGAATTTCGTGAATAGTCCTCATACAAACTTGAGCACAATCCTCATTTTCCCTCTGCAATTTAATAATTATTAATTTACCGTAATTACCGAAAGATCTAATATAATTAAATCTTTCTTATTAAATTTCACACTCCCACTAAAAGTGGATCCCCCTCATGGCGGCTAACCTCGACGAGTCTAAACATGATGCTCTGTATCTTGCGCACATGGGGCTCCAAGTCGGTATTGCGCGGTAGACGGTGTATAATCTCCAGTACCAACTTTCGGATCTGAGCTTTGGAGTTTTCTTGGTAGATTGGTTCTCCAGCCTGAGATTAATACTTAGTTAACATTTGTAGAGATAAACCATGAAGCAACAATCTATGTAGTATTAATCAAAGAATCAAGAATGTAAATATTTACGTCATGGTCAAAATACCAATGTTTGTTGTTGGGTACAAGGTTAAAATACCCATAATAGCCTACAATACGTGCCTCGATAAACTTTAGAAACTCGTCCAGAAGATAGATAAGAAACTCGTTATAATAAGAGTTTTGTACGATAAACTCCAGATGTTCGCTAAGTTCCTGCGCGGCCTTGAACTTGCTTCCTTCATCTGAAATTATGTTTGCTATTTAAGATTAAAATAGTTCTAGAATGGTCCTGTATGTTCCGTGATGTTAACTCAAATCATTCCAGCAGTGATTTTATAGTCATTTCAATTGTGGACATTTAAGTTAATTTTAAGGTAGAAAGAAATGAACGTTAATATAATAAGAATAAAGCGGACACGACTGTATAATCATTGGCTTACTATATGGTGGAAGTAGAATAGTTTTCTGTGAATATGTAATATGTATGTATGCTATGCTGAATGAACGTGTTCCTGATGGGAGGGCTTTTGCCCTAAAATTTTAAAATCCGGAGCATCATAGCACGTGACTTTCGAGAAATCGTAAACTGGAAAATGTGGCGAGTTATATCAACAAAAATAGAAATGAGTTAGTCTTATTCATTGTTATTGGCAATGATGGCAATCAAAATTTTAACCATTACATTTTCATGAATATTGTTGAATAATATTGGGAATTGGGATGCTTGCTTTTAAATGACCCATACTCTGTCAAAATGGGCATCAATTAAGATTAAAAAGTTCAAATCACATTAGATAATTAACCAAACATCACTTAAGTCAGATTCTCAGAATTAGGGAAAGCTGATTTCAAGGCTGTTCAATCCACTGTCAAAATTAAAAAAAGAAGATGAAGATTAAATGATAGTGACAGTGTGTTTCAAGCAAAACAGTAGCCGTAATACTGCAGAAGGCTACCGGTCAAGAAAGCTAATCTAAAGAGTAACGTCACCACGAGGGATGACGTCACGTGACCACGAAAGGAATCTGGCGACTTACCCAGATTGTTGACGATATGTAGAGGCAGATCTGCGAAAGTAACAAACCTTAGATAAAGAAATGACATAGTTGTGGTATACCATCTAAAAACTTTTAAGACTTAACATGCTTTGAATTTCATGAGTAATACTGAGCTGAGTAATGAACAATATTCTGAACGTCGGGAAGGAGCGAACGTCTCACGTTGGTAAGTGCCAAATACTCTCTTTAACTTTAATGGGTCTGACTATTAGGTGCAGTAAGGCTTAGTGAGCCCTTTGAAAGTTGTGAAGTGGTTTTACCCTATGTTTTATTAATTCATTAAATTAATAATACTTCAATGTGCATTATAAGGAGTAAGATGAGATACTTTATGGATAGTGATTGATTAATCTACGTAACTTAACAATCTTCGGTATGGGTGTTGGATTTACACAACTTGCAGACCTAAATTAATTAGTTTCAAATGCTTTGAATTTCGATAGGTGTGCTAAAACGTGCTAACCTGGTTTAAACAGTCACAAAACCAACTACAACACACACAAGATAAGTAAAGCACACATAAAGTAAGTACCTCGTTCATTCTCAGTAATGATACTGACGTACTGCTTAAACTTCTTGAAGAAGGTGAAATCGTTGTCTGTCCCCAGCTGTTGTTGCTGGGGTGGAACGCCAACCTCCATGGGTTGGGTGTTTAGTGGAAGGTCCATATCATGGTTACCACCTGTACCTGGCATTGTACACCTCTCACAGGCTCACATCTCCTTAAAGTTGAAATTGCTACATTTGCTTAAGGAATGGTTCAGTGTTTATAAATAAATATTTAAGGAATATTTTGTTTTAATGGGATGGACTAATTTCATACAAAGTTAAATGCAAGTTAAAAACAAACTGCAATTTCAATGTTTAATTGTTATGCTCATTAAATAATTATGTTTGTACTAGTGATTGATCTATTACTATGTTGGAGGTCTGTTAAACAATGTTTCCGTGAAATCAATACATTTTTATATAAAAGTCATAACAAATTAACGAGTACCTATCTGCATTGTTCAATAGAAATAGGTTAAAAAATATTGCTCTATACAAATACAACCCAGAATCAGAAAACTTAAAACGCACTCATAATGTAATGTTTTTAAAATTATCTCAAATTATGTTTAAAACAAATTTCAATTTAAAACAGTGTAGCAACTTTTGAAGGCATGTGATCCATGATAATAATCCCCTTATCCAATGTCTGCTCGGCGAGCTCATCAACAAATCCAAACCAGTATATGACCAGTCCTGAACCAAACCTATTCCAATAGCTCCAGTACTGCTCTCTGAGGTACTGCTTGTGTGAGACCTCGTCACCAAAGGACGCTTTACTCTCAATCCAATTGATAACATGATCCCCAATTGCTATTGGAACTGTCAAAAGTAAATCTGGTGTTTTATCATAACCCTGATCACGAAGAATGTTTTCATCTTTGAAGGGTACATTCATGAACGTCAGTTTGTCCTTAAGAATTAACTCATACTCTTCACCAATTGATTTTTTAATAAGATCAATGCTTGGCCCAAATTGGTCATCATTCTCAAGACAGTACTGAACTTGATCTCTGAAAATTGTGTTTTCAATAACACTTATATTCCTGAGAATGTATGTAGAGGTCTGATTTTTGTCTAACTCGTTAATCTCAATGAACATCTTAGCTAACATAACAGGTGGAAGACCCATTCGTTTGGCAACATTGTATATTGCTTCTTTTGAACAATCTTTCTGTGATTTGAATTGTTTCCAATGGTCTGTTTGTACTCGTTGGTCACAGTAGAGGTATGAAACTTTTCTCAACTTTTTCTGAACAATCTGCATGAATATAGCAAGAACAGTGTTGTGAGTGCACTGAAAAACTGTTGATGCTTCACTGATGTAGGATGCTGCATCTTGATCTGATGACTCAACAAATTTAGCAATTTTCAGATATGTTTCCATCAACATTTTTCTCTATTTTCTGATAACCTTTAAAACATTCCTGCTAACCGAAATTTTAACACATTTTTATTATTTAAAACATAAAGAATTTAATATTACCATTTTGCCCTACAAGATGAGTTAAAAAGAACCAGTCTAAATCAATCTGCGATTGCACATGGCTTGTTATATTTGTTTTAAGCATGATTTAGCCAGTGCGCTCATAATGTTTTACTTCAACACCCAACTTTCAAGATGTTTATCCAACGTTGCTAATATTAAGGGGGGGGGACAATGGATATTTTTTTGTGAAACTTGATTTCGAGATAGCAGTTGACCAACAAACTAGGACCAGTGACCGAACTTTTGAGGGGGTCCCGGACCCCAACCGCCAAACGGTGCCCGCGGGGCAGCCACGCCCATATTTGGTCCAAATTAGGCCCAATTTAGCCAAATACCCTGAACATGCCCAAAACCCAGATTTTAGGTGCTCTACTTGTAGCTAGTGGTCTCCTGAACTCGTATATGAAATTTCATCAAGATTGGACAAAAAATGACTGAGTTATGGGCCAAAAACCATATGCCCATATTTGGGCATACCCACCAAATTTGGTAGATTTCGTCCCATAAATTGGGCAAATATCAATATTTTTGAATGAAACTTACTTTATAAGAAAGGTAAGCCTAAACTACATATTCTCTGTAAGTTATAGCTTTATATCTGTTTAAATGTGGATACTAAAAAAAACCACAAAAAATGAACTAAATTGCCCGTATCTTGGTTCGCGATATTCGCGGAATTGATCTCATTAAAATTGTAACAACTCAATCAGTTTTCAAAATTTTTCCATGAAATTTTCGGAATCGACTCGAAATCGCATTTCCACCTTATTTAGAGAACAGAATTTTGATTTAGGCCTCAAAAAAATTTGGCGGCCAAATTCTGAATTTTTCCGGGAAAATTTTGGAATTTGGCCGCCAAATTTTTCCACCTGTTATGTTAGCCAAAAAAAATTTGGCGGCCAAATTCTGAATTTTTCCGGGAAAATTTTGGAATTTGGCCGCCAAATTTTTTTGGAGGCCTAAATCAAAATTCTGTTCTCAAAATAAGGTGGAAATGCGATTTCGAGTCGATTCCGAAAATTTCATGGAAAAATTTTGAAAACTGATTGAGTTGTTATAATTTTAATGAGATCAATTCCGCGAATATCGCGAACCAAGATACGGGCAATTTAGTTCATTTTTTGTGGTTTTTTCGCCTTAGTATCCACATTTAAACAGATATAAAGCTATAACTTACAGAGAATATGTAGTTTAGGCTTACCTTTCTTATAAAGTAAGTTTCATTCAAAAATATTGATATTTGCCCAATTTATGGGACGAAATCTACCAAATTTGGTGGGTATGCCCAAATATGGGCATATGGTTTTTGGCCCATAACTCAGTCATTTTTTGTCCAATCTTGATGAAATTTCATATACGAGTTCAGGAGACCACTAGCTACAAGTAGAGCACCTAAAATCTGGGTTTTGGGCATGTTCAGGGTATTTGGCTAAATTGGGCCTAATTTGGACCAAATATGGGCGTGGCTGCCCCGCGGGCACCGTTTGGCGGTTGGGGTCCGGGACCCCCTCAAAAGTTCGGTCACTGGTCCTAGTTTGTTGGTCAACTGCTATCTCGAAATCAAGTTTCACAAAAAAATATCCATTGTTCCTCCCCCTTAAGTCGATGTATCATGATAGTGGCTGAATAAAATGAGGCCGGGTCAGTTTGTTTATTTATGCAGCAAAGAGGTGTGGTATGAATTAAAGACCGAGAGGCTAGGAGATAGTGATGACTCAAAATATATCTAACTACTGCAATAAATCCAAACTCTCAAAGCTATAAGGCTGACGATCGGTAAAGTAACCTGACCTGAGTTTAAACTTGAAATTGTATGACAGTTTTTTAAAGCTTGAAGCTTCATACCATTTAAGCCATATCATGTGAATCATATTCAAGGAACTTTGGGAAAAATACCATTCTCACTGTAATCTACTCATCCAAATTTCCGATAAACTTAGCTACAACAATAGTCAGTGAGCACGAATCTTTGGGTAATTGCTAGTAGGGGGTCTTGTTAAAAGATCATAGATCTTGTAGGGGCATCATTAAATAAAAATTAAAAGGGAATAAAAGGTACCCCTTCAGCACTTGTGCTACAAATATACTAACACTAGCTATACTATACTCCACTAGAACCGTTAAGCACGACATGAAGTGTATTGTTTCATTTTCGAAATGACATGATTAAGAGTTGAGAGTAGCGCTCGATTTTGTACAATACTCCAAATTTTAAACACAGACCAGTGAATGTGCGCGGCGCGCACCTACATCCATTTGCTGTGTACTATATAAATTACTATACAATGTGTATATACAATATAGTGATGAGACATTCTTACTTGATTGATGATGTCAACCCTTCCAGATCGTTGCTTAGCTAATTAACAGAGCAACGATCTATTTAAAAAACCTAATCAAATTTCTCAATAGAATGAAAATTTATAAAATACTTTTATGCCACACAATATAAAAATTGGATAAAATCAAAAATAATCGTTTTGTCATAAAATGGAATATACAGTAATAATAAGCTATAGTAAATTCGACTTTTTGCTCAAAACGACAGCTTTTACTAATTTGCTCGCCCAAAAATTATTACGTGTTTTGGGTTTTTACGGTTTTGATATATATGGGATGATTCGGAATTAGCGTCCAACAATACACTGATCTTGATTATTCTTTTATGTCCTACCCTGAACACTTAATTAGGGTCTTTTTTCAAGAATTTTCCAAAATTTGGGCCAGCGATTTAGTGGGAGCGCAAAACGACGAAAGAAGTAAAAGAAAATCGGTATTTTATAGAGATTCACCTTACATAAAGGTGTAACTGCTTTATACCATCATAAATCGACAGAAGTAGAGGAAGAGGTCAGGAAGTTTAAAGTAAAATACAATTTTAAGTAAAATACAATTTTTATTTTCCACAGAAGAATCAATACATATTAAATTATAAATATCCGATAATTCCATTAATAATCATTAAAAGTTGCTTTGTCATTTGTAAAATCAAAAACGAAAAGGCGTACGCTGAACTGTGAACGCGCGCGGCGTTTTTCTGCAGCTGTACTGCAGCTGTACTGCCTAACTTCAAGCTTGTATCCGCTAGCATCAAAGCCGCCGCGCGCGCCCAGTGCTGGGTGCATTCTTATTAACAATTAAACTTGGTCAAAGATAGTTATATACAATTCCTAAATTAAATCAATAATCATGTTAATATGAGTATTCGACACTACTCGACATTAAATATTTGCCGGCCCATCAACGATTCAGTCGCCGAAACAAAAATCAAATGTTTGCTTTTTCGTTTCGGGGACTGTTTGCACTCAGTACTATATCCGACTAATCATACTTTATAATGGTTAAAATACAAAGTAAAAAGATTTTCTTCGATGGGCCGGCATTCGCTTGTAGCGCGATGCGTTACTGTGCCGCGCCGCGCACTCAATGAGGCTTCTCACAGCGACACGTTTTGAGTACGACAAACGATGACACCACCACCAGCTGTTAATTAATAAGTCCATGCGTGACGGGATAAAGTTAAAGTAAGATGTGTAATTTCATATTGCCTATCACCTATCACCTAAAGGCTATGAGCAGTGGCGTAACGTTATTTTTAGGCTCCCCCGCTCCTCTCAAAAAGTGCTCCCCTTTCTGGAGCGCGCTCTCTTCGCTCGCAAGATGTGTTTTAGGGCCATCGAATTTGATGATCGACGCCACAATTTGTAAATGTTAAATTATCATATGTAGTCAAGGGATGCTCGATGTATACAATAAAATATTTTAATAAGTTAGCCAGCAACATTGTAGTTTTAATTATGTCGAAGAATAAAAATTGAATTCTATGATGAATTTTGTTAAAATTTAAAATTAAAACGCGCGCTAGTTTGTTATCACTACGCCGCGCATTTTATCTAAACTGGTTTTAAATTATATTGTTTACAAGAATCGAGCGCTTGTCAGAACATCCCGATTTGTATTTTGTCCGTCAATCATTATATCAGAATCCAAAATCCATATGTCGGTTCGGTCGCAAAGTGTAAACTTTCAGTTATTAGTACCAATCATAAATTGATTCTAATTAACTATTAATTCAAACACTTCCTTTTGTTTGTGACTTGTCAAATACCAATTGGCAGTGCAAATTAAATAATACTAAAATTCAAAGCTTTGTGGCTTGTGCAGACAGTAAAAGCCAGAAATCAAAATGCTGTGCTCTGTGTGCTCTTCCGAAATGTGATTTTTGTGAATCTCGTACTGGCTACTGCATACTGTACAATTTATTTAAAATCTTTGAAGTTTATAACTGGTTACTGCACTGGAGAATGCAGTTGGTCAGCTACTAGAGATGTATTTTGGGGGGAAGATATGGAGATATCAAATGGACAATTATAATAGCCAATAGAGTGGATATTATGTTATATAATGAGGGCTGATTACCGATTTAGATCTTGAATAGTTCAAGTTTAAAGGGAAATAGACAAATACCCGAGTGATGAAGTATAATTGTAAAGTGGTGCAGAGGAAACGTACCCTTGCTAATAGATATGACTGCCAACAAACACCATTATCAAACTCGAAAGAAAGGCTACTACTTAGTAGCGTGTTACCGATTTGTTGTAAATTGTAAGATTGGAAATTGTTTTTTTAGTACTAGTCTGTGTGCCTTGTGCGTCGTGCATTTTTGATGTTTCTTAGCTCAATAGGCAATATAATGATCATCACTATTCACTCTACGACCTTTTGGCTAGATCATAATTCTTAGTTGTCACTCACCATAAATCACTGACAGTACACACATCACATAGCACATACACATTCGTTGAGTTAATGCTTGATGAATTTCAGAAGCTGCCATGGAGACCCTGCAGCTGTTATCGATAAAGGAATACCCAACAGACAAAGAACTCTTTAGGGACGTAATGCTAACTGCCGATCTGAAGAGGAACATTATAGACCAGGGTCCATGCCAGCCTGCTATCCTGCAGAATTATTACACTTGTCAGCACAGAGGTATCAAAATTCTGAGAAAATGGCTATGATTTTTGCCGACATCAAAAAAGCATACTGCAACATCTGCTGGATGTTTAGAGGAAAGACTGAGTGGGCTGATGGCGTGACCCTGAGCAAGAAGGACGGGCTTGTGAAAAGAATTGACCTACACGAGAAGTCAATTGGACACAGAGAGTGCCATAAGAACTTTGCTATGTGCAGTTCAAAGATAGTCCCATCGACCATGCGATGTTTGAAACAGCAAGGAGAGGAGGAGAACAAATGGTCAAAAGTGATAGAGCGGGTCATTGCTGTTATCACAAGTGCTGCAAGCATGAACCTGCCTCTAAGGGGACACAGAGAAACAGTGGGGGATGGAGCGTGTAGTGGAGGCAATTTCTTGGAGTTAATTCAATTGCTGGCACAATATGATGACTTGCTGAGCCAAACAATTGGAACAGAAAAGGGTCGCCACAAATACTTGAGTCCTACCGTACAAAACGAGATTATTTGCCTTATAGCTAAGAAAACGACCGACAAGATCGTCGAAGAAGTTATCAATGCTCCTTTCTTCGCATTACTGCTTGACTCCATGACCGACATCAGCAAGGTTTGTTTGCCCTTGAATTTTGAAACTATGTCATGAGAACTGAATAAGTAAAATAGCTTAAGTTTTATTTCTGTCGTCAACGTGCATTACAATTTACTTGAAATTACATACAGAATATTAAAGTATGCTTATAACTATATAATGCTTTTTAATTTCAGATCGATCAACTAAGCATAGTTGTACGGTATGTTGTCATGGAGGACGAGAAGTTCACAATAAAAGAGAGTTTTCTCGGATTTGTTGCGATGAGTTCCTCAACTGCGGAGAACGTAGCGGAAACTGTAGTCGAGAAATTACGGGACTTGGGTATAACAATTGAACGTCGCGTCTGTTGTGTCTCCGTGCTATATACTAGTGTATTGTGCTCTGCCAATTGTATCATATGGTTAAATTGAATGTATTATCTGATTGAATGATTTTCAAGAGTGAGAGGCTGGAAAGGGACATTCTGTATATAGGGAGGCATAAATCAATCGGCCATATTATGAACACATAGTTCTTTTCTTCCGGAGAGACTTTGTCAGAACAAACTCCCTCTGGACGTCAAGAACTCCAAGAAGAGAGCAGAGAGACAGCTCTAAGTTTTAAAGTTAAATTGGAATGATTTAAAAATGGGAAAAATGTGACTTTTGAAAGTTTTGTCAATGATTGTTATGTTTGGAATGTTTTGAAAGAAGAATTAGGAAGAATCGAGGAAACCAATAATGGTAATAACAAAGGGAAACATAATGAATATCTTGCATTAAAAAAAGGTTTTAATAATTTTTTACTGGGTATTTGTTTTGTTTTTTTAACAGTAAAAAGTGTGTCAAACAGTATATATTATATAATACATTCAATTAAATCAAGTGATGCAATAGGCAGAGCACAATCAAATTTTAAGTGTTGCAATTGGCAGAGCACAATTCATTGCTACCAATAATTTCATGATCATGATCTACTCCATATTATAGTATAGGGGCAGGGATGAGGTTGTATGAGACTTATGATAGCTGAATCTCACGTTTGGTGTCCACCTTCTTTCCTCGGTACCCTCGTAGAGCAATCAGAGTTGTTCTCAACATTGCAAATCTTATCCTTGTTCTTACATGTCTTACTACATCACAGTACCTCTCCTTCCTTTTTCTTGCAATGAGGTCTGCTACTCTGTTGACGAACTGCTTACACTCTTTAGACATTCCTCCAGATTTGAGGAATACAGTCGGGGTGAAAGTAGCCTTCTCTACATTCAACACTCCCTCCAAGTACTCGTCCTTCTTCTCCTTCTCGTTCTCTTCGTATACTTCTTGAAGAGTTTTTGTCCTGTTTGATAAGCAATTGGGGTGTGAAACCCTTATGTCAAGAAAGGTCTTATCAAATGGAGTCCAAACTCCTCTAGCAGATACATCAAGCCGAGCTTGGTCACCTGTTATAGTCTTGGGGTTGAGGCAGTCACCCTCATTTACCTTCTAGTTCTGTAGCTGGGGTCCAACTTTTACATCATGACATACCTCACGAAGGAGATTTGCCATTGTGTCTCTGATGTTGTTGTGGGTCATAATCACGAAGCCCCCTAGCTTACAGGTGAAAAGGTGGTCAAGATCACTTGTTTTCCCACATCCACAGGTGATGGGAGTGTTTGGTATCCACCAGCTGTAGCGTAAGCAGACACTGTCACGAAACTCCTCTTTGTGCAGAGTGTAGCCATACTGCTGAAGTGGCAATGTGTTGAGCCAACTGGACGCTCCCTTTTCTCTTGCTGCTAGTAATGCTCTCTTAGAGGAGGTGCCACATCTTTCAGCTATAGCATTAAACTTGGCTTGGAGCTCGGAATTCTTCAATGTTTTGATCATTTCTTTCCCCGATTTGGTGAGGTTACTGGATGCAGTGTACCTAACATTTCAGTTTAATTATTAATTTTTAGAAATATCCTTGATAATGTGTGATGATTTGATTGGAAACTTTCATCAAACGAAAGTTGTGTCATTATTATTCGACTCGATTTGATTTATAAATATTTCCCCTTAAAATGTATATGGAAAATGTCCCTACAATCTTCAATGTCCTTTGAACAAAACAATTAGTAATTGTTGTCAAAAATTGAAATTTATTATGATTTATTGTGACCATCAAATATTTAGGTAGGATGGGTGCCGACAAGGTAGACAAGGTAGACAGAGAACACAGGGGCATCCCTCAGGCAGTCTTTCTTGAAGATGTGGACAGTTACATGTCATCCACTACCCCTGAAAAGAATGCAGCTGCAGTACTCAAAGATTTTGATGAACAACTCCAAAAGTACAAATACATGGAATTGAATTTGCTGCAAAGAAAGAAAAGACTCAGAGCTCAAGTTCCTGACATCGAAAAGACTCTCGAGATTGTCCAACATATGCTGAAGAAGGAGAGGAGTTTCAAACACATTTCATGCTGTCTGATCAAGTCCACGCTCTTGCCACAGTTCCTCCTACAGATAAAGTGTTCTTGTGGCTTGGTGCTAACGTGATGCTTGAGTACACAATTGATGAAGCAATCACCCTGTTGACCAAGAACCTGAACACTGCCACTGTTAACGCTGACCAGCTGGAGGATGACTTAGGTTACCTCTCTAACCAGATAACCACCATGGAGGTCAACATGGCGAGGGTATATAACTGGGACTTCAAGCGAAGGAAGGCTGCTGCTGATAAATAGTCTGATCACCTCTGTACTTTTAGTATTTAAATGTAAATATTTTATAAAGGATCTTTTTCACTTCTCTGTCATAATCATATTATCATTCTGGTGGTTTTTTTCCTACTGTTTGCACTGTGTGAAAATGTAAAAGGTGTTCAATGAGATCTGGAATTTGGTTAATTATATGGTATTTGTTAACTCTGCGTATTTACTTTTGTTACAAATCAACTAAGTACTACTGTTGGAATGCAGTGAAACTAGAAAACAATAAGTATCCTTTGAAAGAAAAGATATACTGTGTTCTCGCCCTTAACTGATCCCCATGTTGTGTCTCTGTGTTCACTAACCCACTGACCCAGCTGAGTGTATCAGATGACATGACGCAGACGGGTTCCGGCTCCCCTGGCCTCCGACGTTCTCTCTCTCAGATGGATTATGAGCTCCTCAAGCACACACCTGATCTCACTAACATTCCTCCATTGCAAAGGTTTGTTCAATTCCACTTTTTACCCATTATCAAGGTAATGTAAGAAATTTATAATATTATATATAATTATCTTGTGTTAAATTTAAATTTGATACAATTCCATTTTAACCCAATTTTTGATATCAGGTTTGGTTTTGCAAAGAAGCGAATCAATGAAATATTTGAGAAGTTCAAAGTCCACGTAGAAGAAATGGATGCCTTCATTGGTGAGTGACTAGGGTGAAGCATGTTATTAAACTGGTTAATCAACTTAAGTACTGTATTGTGAATGTAAAAATATTAAAGAAAATAAAAGTACCTATTGTTCACCGATTATTAAGAATGTTGACAAGAAAACAACCTCCGTTTCTTGAGCAAATCAATAATATCAGGTAACTCCTACATCAAAGAAGCTAATGATTTGCATGGTGAACATCTCGATACACAGAACATGTTACGCCAGATTGAGAGTATTGTACAAATCATCGACAGAGATCACATGAAGGTTTGCTTGTTACGAAGGTTGATTTTTACTTACTTGAATTGCAACTATTTGCTTATTTATTGGAAAACAAAGTTATTATAATAATTTACAATGAAAGAAATTACTACAAATACTTGAACTTGAAGTATAGCTATGGATTGAGTATATCACGACTTACTGAGTTAATTGTTCCAGGTAGCCTTCTTCGGTCGGACCAGTAACGGAAAGAGTACAGTAATAAACTCTATGTTACGGGATCAGATTCTTCCTTCAGGTAATAACTCTTAAGTCACGCGACACATCTACTCGGAGCTGCAATTATTTATTTGAAGAACAGCTTTAAGTACAAGTTATATTGAAAATAAAGCCTAGATTCCTGTTCTCCATACCTCTCTCTCTGCCAGGTATTGGTCACACTACTAACTGCTTCCTCTCTATTACCGGGGTTGATGTCCAGGAACCCTACCTGCTTAGACCTGACTCTCCCGACAAGAAGAACGCTCAGGTGCGTGCAGCTGCTAAATCTTATATTCTTGAGGGGGCTATCTTACATTCTTGAGGGGGCTATCTTACATTCTTGAGGGGGCTATCTTACATTCTTGAGGGGGCTATCTTACATTCTTGAGGGGGCTATCTTACATTCTTGAAGGGGCTATCTTACATTCTTGAGGGGGCTATCTTACATTCTTGAGGGGGCTATCTTACATTCTTGAGGGGGCTATCTTACATTTTTGAGGGGGCTATCTTACATTTTTGAGGGGGCTATCTTACATTCTTGAGGGGGCTATCTTACATTTTTGAGGGGGCTATCTTACATTCTTGAGGGGGCTATCTTACATTCTTGAGGGGGCTATCTTACATTCTTGAGGGGGCTATCTTACATTCTTGAGGGGGCTATCTTACATTCTTGAGGGGGCTATCTTACATTCTTGAGGGGGATAGGGTTCTGTAAATAGCAAGTGTAGTGAAGTGCACGTGCAGCACCCAGCTAGGGGTCTGTAAAGGCAACACCTTTCTTCGAGACATTATTTAGAATTTATGATTGTTTCTGTATAAAGCCTGTTTCAAGCCGGCTTTTATTTCAGACAATAAAGCGGCTATCAAACTCTCTGAGTAAAGAGTGTTTAGATCCCAATGCTATTGTCCGACTGTACTGGCCTAAAACTAAGTGTGCTCTTATACGAGATGAGGTGGTTCTAGTGGACAGGTAAGATTGCTTGAGCCAGGAATTAATATTTAATTAGGCTAATTAATTAACTAAACTGATTGTAGTCAAGACAGGGTGGTCGAGAATATATGTGGTGTATTAATAATGATTTTAAAGAACTGATTTAGATAACCCTGTACCCTGTACCCTGTACCCTGTACCCTGTACCCTGTACCCTGTACCCTGTACCCTGTACCCTGTACCCTGTACCCTGTACCCTGTACCCTGTACCCTGTACCCTGTATCCTGTACCCTGTACCCTGTATCCTGTACCCTGTACCCTGTACCAGGCCATGTACCCTGTACCCTGAACCCTGAACCATGTACCCTGAACCCTGAACCATGTACCCTGAGCTGTACCCTGTACCCTGTACCCTGTACCCTGTACCCTGTACCCTGTACCCTGTACCCTGTACCCTGTACCCTGTACCCTGTACCCTGTACCCTGTACCCTGTACCCTGAGCTGTACCCTGTACCCTGTACCCTGTACCCTGTACCCTGTACCCTGTACCCTGTACCCTGTACCCTGTACCCTGTACCCTGTATCCTGTATCCTGTACCCTGTACCCTGTACCATGTACCCTGTACCCTGTACCCTGTATCCTGTATCCTGTACCCTGTATCCTGTATCCTGTATCCTGTACCCTGTACCCTGTACCCTGTATCCTGTACCCTGTACCCTGTACCCTGTATCCTGTACCCTGTACCCTGTACCCTGTATCCTGTACCCTGTACCCTGTACCCTGTATCCTGTATCCTGTATTCTGTACCCTGTACCCTGTATCCTGTATCCTGTACCCTGTACCCTGTACCCTGTACCCTGTATCTTAAACAAATAATCCTGTACCTTGCAACAACCCCTCAGTCCAGGTATTGACATGTCTCCGGATGTAGACGGCTGGATTGACACGCACTGTCAGGATGCTGACGTGTTCGTGCTGGTTGCTAACTCAGAGAGTACCCTCATGCACTCTGTAAGTAGTTTTACAGTAGTAATTATTGTGAGTTATAATTATATAATAATAGAATGTAAATCTAGTTTAAAGTGATAAATAATAGGGGACAGTTCGTAGCCTGATGGTATGTGAAGGTGTGTGTTTTAATGATGGTGGTATGTAGCCTGATGGTATGTGAAGGTGTGTGTTTTAATGATGGTGGTATGTAGCCTGATGGTATGTGAATGTGTGTTTTAATGATGGTGGTATGTAGCCTGATGGTATGAAGGTGTGTGTTTTAATGATGGTGGTATGTAGCCTGATGGTATGTGAAGGTGTGTGTTTTAATGATGGTGGTATGTAGCCTGATGGTATGTGAAGGTGTGTGTTTTAATGATGGCGGTATGTAGCCTGATGGTATGAAGGTGTGTGTTTTAATGATGGTGGTATGTAGCCTGATGGTATGAAGGTGTGTGTTTTAATGATGGTGGTATGTAGCCTGATGGTATGAAGGTGTGTGTTTTAATGATGGTGGTATGTAGCCTGATGGTATGAAGGTGTGTGCTTTAATGATGGTGGTATGTAGCCTGATGGTATGAAGGTGTGTGTTTTAATGATGGTGGTATGTAGCCTGATGGTATGAAGGTGTGTGTTTTAATGATGGTGGTATGTAGCCTGATGGTATAAAGGTGTGTGTTTTAATTATTGTGGTATGTAGCCTGATGGTATGAAGGTGTGTGTTTTAATGATTGTGGTATGTAGCCTGATGGTATGTGAAGGTGTGTGTTTTAATGATGGTGGTATGTAGCCTGATGGTATGAAGGTGTGTGTTTTAATGATGATGGTATGTAGCCTGATGGTATGTGAAGGTGTGTGTTTTAATGATGGTGGTATGTAGCCTGATGGTATGAAGGTGTGTGTTTTAATGATGGTGGTATGTAGCCTGATGGTATGTGAATGTGTGTTTTAATGATGGTGGTATGTAGCCTGATGGTATGAAGGTGTGTGTTTTAACGATGGTGGTAATATGTAGCCTGATGGTATGAAGGTGTGTGTTTTATTGATGGCGGTATGTAGCCTGATGGTATGAAGGTGTGTGTTTTAATGATGGTGGTATGTAGCCTGATGGTATGAAGGTGTGTGTTTTAATGATGGTGGTATGTAGCCTGATGGTATGTGAAGGTGTGTGTTTTAATGATGGTGGTATGTAGCCTGATGGTATGAATGTGTGTGTTTTAATGATGGTGGTATGTAGCCTGATGGTATGAAGGTGTGTGTTTTAATGATGGTGGTATGTAGCCTGATGGTATGAAGGTGTGTGTTTTAATGATGGTGGTATGTAGCCTGATGGTATGAAGGTGTGTGTTTTAATGATGGTGGTATGTAGCCTGATGGTATGTGAAGGTGTGTGTTTTAATGATGGTGGTATGTAGCCTGATGGTATGTGAAGGTGTGTGTTTTAATGATGGTGGTATGTAGCCTGATGGTATGAAGGTGTGTGTTTTAATGATGGTGGTATGTAGCCTGATGGTATGTGAAGGTGTGTGTTTTAATGATGGTGGTATGTAGCCTGATGGTATGAAGGTGTGTGTTTTAATGATGGTGGTATGTAGCCTGATGGTATGTGAAGGTGTGTGTTTTAATGATGGTGGTATGTAGCCTGATGGTATGAAGGTGTGTGTTTTAATGATGGTGGTATGTAGCCTGATGGTATGAAGGTGTGTGTTTTAATGATGGTGGTATGTAGCCTGATGGTATGAAGGTGTGTGTTTTAATGATGGTGGTATGTAGCCTGATGGTATGAAGGTGTGTGTTTTAATGATGGTGGTATGTAGCCTGATGGTATGAAGGTGTGTGTTTTAATGATGGTGGTATGTAGCCTGATGGTATGAAGGTGTGTGTTTTAATGATGGTGGTATGTAGCCTGATGGTATGTGAAGGTGTGTGTTTTAATGATGGTGGTATGTAGCCTGGCCTGATGGTATGTGAAGGTGTGTGTTTTAATGATGGTGGTATGTAGCCTGATGGTATGAAGGTGTGTGTTTTAATGATGGTGGTATGTAGCCTGATGGTATGAAGGTGTGTGTTTTAATGATGGTGGTATGTAGCCTGATGGTATGAAGGTGTGTGCTTTAATGATGGTGGTATGTAGCCTGATGGTATGAAGGTGTGTGTTTTAATGATGGTGGTATGTAGCCTGATGGTATGAAGGTGTGTGTTTTAATGATGGTGGTATGTAGCCTGATGGTATGTGAAGGTGTGTGTTTTAATTATTGTGGTATGTAGCCTGATGGTATGAAGGTGTGTGTTTTAATGATTGTGGTATGTAGCCTGATGGTATGTGAAGGTGTGTGTTTTAATGATGGTGGTATGTAGCCTGATGGTATGAAGGTGTGTGTTTTTTTATGATGATGGTATGTAGCCTGATGGTATGTGAAGGTGTGTGTTTTAATGATGGTGGTATGTAGCCTGATGGTATGAAGGTGTGTGTTTTAATGATGGTGGTATGTAGCCTGATGGTATGTGAATGTGTGTTTTAATGATGGTGGTATGTAGCCTGATGGTATGAAGGTGTGTGTTTTAACGATGGTGGTAATATGTAGCCTGATGGTATGAAGGTGTGTGTTTTATTGATGGCGGTATGTAGCCTGATGGTATGAAGGTGTGTGTTTTAATGATGGTGGTATGTAGCCTGATGGTATGAAGGTGTGTGTTTTAATGATGGTGGTATGTAGCCTGATGGTATGTGAAGGTGTGTGTTTTAATGATGGTGGTATGTAGCCTGATGGTATGAATGTGTGTGTTTTAATGATGGTGGTATGTAGCCTGATGGTATGAAGGTGTGTGTTTTAATGATGGTGGTATGTAGCCTGATGGTATGAAGGTGTGTGTTTTAATGATGGTGGTATGTAGCCTGATGGTATGAAGGTGTGTGTTTTAATGATGGTGGTATGTAGCCTGATGGTATGTGAAGGTGTGTGTTTTAATGATGGTGGTATGTAGCCTGATGGTATGTGAAGGTGTGTGTTTTAATGATGGTGGTATGTAGCCTGATGGTATGAAGGTGTGTGTTTTAATGATGGTGGTATGTAGCCTGATGGTATGTGAAGGTGTGTGTTTTAATGATGGTGGTATGTAGCCTGATGGTATGAAGGTGTGTGTTTTAATGATGGTGGTATGTAGCCTGATGGTATGTGAAGGTGTGTGTTTTAATGATGGTGGTATGTAGCCTGATGGTATGAAGGTGTGTGTTTTAATGATGGTGGTATGTAGCCTGATGGTATGAAGGTGTGTGTTTTAATGATGGTGGTATGTAGCCTGATGGTATGAAGGTGTGTGTTTTAATGATGGTGGTATGTAGCCTGATGGTATGAAGGTGTGTGTTTTAATGATGGTGGTATGTAGCCTGATGGTATAAAGGTGTGTGTTTTAATGATGGTGGTATGTAGCCTGATGGTATGTGAAGGTGTGTGTTTTAATGATGGTGGTATGTAGCCTGATGGTATGAAGGTGTGTGTTTTAATGATGGTGGTATGTAGCCTGATGGTATGAAGGTGTGTGTTTTAATGATGGTGGTATGTAGCCTGATGGTATGAAGGTGTGTGTTTTAATGATGGTGGTATGTAGCCTGATGGTATGAAGGTGTGTGTTTTAATGATGGTGGTATGTAGCCTGATGGTATGAAGGTGTGTGTTTTAATGATGGCGGTATGTAGCCTGATGGTATGAAGGTGTGTGTTTTAATGATGGTGGTATGTAGCCTGATGGTATGTGAAGGTGTGTGTTTTAATGATGGTGGTATGTAGCCTGATGGTATGAAGGTGTGTGTTTTAATGATGGTGGTATGTCTTCTACCCAGTGTCATCTAGGTGTGTAGTTTTACATCTCACTTATAGCTCCTTATCTTAGTTTTAACTAGAAATTCGGAGTGTGGCCAATATCAACCTGGGCTTTAAATAATGAATAGGACTTTCAAAAGTTAAATACTCAATGTGACGACAAATGTGAAATTTTAAATCCAGTTGTCGCTACATGCTTACATAGACCGGCCGAATATAATACCTTACAGTTAAAATTATGAATCATGTTAAATGACCATGATTTGAGTGGTGTGATATGATTTACCCGTTATTCTCGAACGTACGGAAATGTTAACATTAACATTAAATAATCCCTTCCTCATTAATTTGTTTAACTCTATTAATAGTTTCTTTATAGTTTCATCACGAAATTAATTTTGCAGGAGAAGAGTTTCTTCAAGCGAGTAAATGCAAAGTTGTCACAACCGAACATTTTCATTCTCAACAACAGGTGGGATTGTAGTGCTGGCGAAGATACGGCTACTAGAGATGAGGTCAGTTCTATCACAATATCACGTGACGTCATCACAATATCACGTGACGTCATTACAATATCACGTGACGTCATCACAGCACAGTGTGGACCCAAAACAATACATGGGTTTTGAACTCTTTTCTTCCACGAGATTTTCAAATTTTGGAATATTCAAAAGTGGCTTTACCCTAGGTGCGGTCCCAACATCAAGACAGAACCATTGAGTTTATTGTGGATGAGCTGGGTCTGATGACGAGAAAGGAAACAAGTGAACGTATCTTCTTTATCAGCGCTAAAGAGGTTAATTAGTGGTTAATTAGTGGTTAATTAGTGGTTAATTAGTGGTTAATTAGTGGTTAATTAGTGGATAATTAGTGGATAATTGGAGGTTAATCAAAGAGTCATCTTTCAGCCTATTATTGGTGATCATTATATCATTAAGTAATGCTGCTGAAGGATAGTGATTGGACATCTAAGGAAGCGAAATGAAAATAGTTTTAAATTTAATGTTTGTTTTCTATTTTGTTAAGTTTATTTTTTACTGTTTATTTATCAGGCTCTGAAGATAAGGATGGGACAAGCATCAGATCTCGCTCAGGGCTGGGAAGAAAGACACAAAGAATTTGAGGATTTCGAACATAAATTTGAGGTAATTTTCAATCGTGACATTAACAGTTCAATTAGTTAATTTACATTATAATTCTGACTCATTCATTGTTATATCGTTATTTTAAAATTATTTCACATTATTGGTGTACATGTTAATATTTTATGCGTAATATGGCCGTTAATTTGTCTCTGAAGTAGAACTAAACAGTGTTCCATACAACACATGACACACTATCATGTACAATATAACTTTTAATAGTATTGTGTGACAAAGTTCAGCTTGCTTGCAACCGTGTGATAATCAATCACGTGATGGCTTGTGTGTACAGTGTAGGTTAGGTATTATACATTACATTATATTTACTGTGCATAACATTATATTAAATGTACGAAACATTATATTTACTGTGCATACCATTATATTTACTGTGCATAACATTATAACATTATCACGTACAAGCTACAAAGGCCAGTAAAAGGGAAACACACGTACATTGCAATTGGCTCATCTTAAAATTACACGAATTATCCTTTGTGGGGTAATGTTACTTCTAAATACATCTAAATACTTAACATAGTTGTCGTGTGATAGCTAATTAATTATTTATACCAGTGGCCAGCATATCAATTATGCATATCAATTACAAGTTCATGTGATAATTGCTTACAGTTTAATATTTCCCGATTTATCGTTTTTGCGATAAGCACAGTTTTTGGTAGGGGTTTATAATCTTACCTCTATTTTATCGCTACATTGTAACTGCCGCTGTGCTGGCACTGTGTTTTTCTTAATTAATACAAGTACAAGTTTCATGATGGAAGACCTGGTTTCCCTTTAACACTTTGTAAGTTTACCTATGTTACTACTGTAAAGCGTGAGGACTAAAACGGCGGGATCTCGACGCTAATTACTGAAGCTATGAGTTGAGACGATAAATCAGTGTTTTCAGTATGTTTAAAAATAAAAAGCCATTGAAGGCAGATTTGGCAAAACTCTTGTTTAATGGTAAATGTAACTATTATGTGAGCAATATATGTGAGCAATATCCTGATAATATGTATACGAAATACGAATTAAATGCAATTATGGTTTCCTCTGTCTATGTTTTATACATACAACGTATATATATACATAAATACATACAACGTTACAACAATGAACGGCGTATTACGCGCTGTGGTTGAATTTAATACTGTTTAGAATGTGTAATAGCTTGATTGCTATTGCTGTAAAATCTTTTAATTTACAGTTATAGATGAGACTATAACTGGCACGCAATTATCAGAATTTTCAAGAGAGCCGCTGTAACGATAAAATAAACAAAGTGTATAATTGAAATAAGAGTAATATTACGAGTATCAAACACATTACACGGCAACAAAGCAATCTCACAAGAGTTTTGGAAGCAAATTGATTTTCGGCGAGCTTAAAACTTTTCAGAACTTTGAGAATGTTGTAAGTTATATTAGATATCAATGATCATCATATTCAGCGAGACGTTTCACCTGTACGATTATCTGCACTTTCAGGCAACTGACGCTCAAACAATAGATTCTAACATTTAAGATTCACTGACCACTGTTTCTTGTGGGGGGTATCCAATCGTGAAAAATTGTGAAAATTGGTGAATGATTTTTATGGTGAATCGAGTTTCCAAATTGTAAAATTTCACCATTTTTCACCATTTTTCACCATTTTTCATCATTGGAAACCCCCTTTCTTGTGTCTTCATCAGCTCCTTCTTTCAATATTCACATGAGATGTACGTTGCTTCAGTTTTCATTCCTTTGTAGCTGCAGATTCTCACTCAAGCTAGACTCTATCTCCTTCCTTGAATCTTGCTCCCAATCCCCCCTAAACACCTCCCTGTTCCCCGGGGTGGGGTGGCGATGAGCCCCCTCCCTGTTCCCCGGGGTGGGGTGGCGATGATACTATCTCTTTGTACAACCAGTACAGTACTCTTTACAAAGAGACACCTGTGTTTGGTTCTGTCCCAGTGTAGGTAACAGTAGAGGAGAGAGCATGTTTCACATTTAAACTGGTGGGGGAGGTCATGTTGAGTGCAAGTGGGGAGGCAACACGTGACTCCTAGTCGGGGGTAATCCATACTGTAGGTGTGGGAGTTAGTGTTTTTAATTTGAACAATGAAATCTTTATATTAAAATATTATAACAAAAACTGGAAAATAAATCTGCACACGAAATAGTGGTACTCGCAACTGAAATGGAAAATGAAAGAAAGAAGTTAATACCGATCACTATCATCCATGGGCTGAAAGGAACTTAAAAGATTAGATAGTGTACTTGTCTGATTTGAATCAGACAAATTCTTGGAGATGTGAGACTTGGAAAAAGTCATGATTAGAAAAGTCTAAACGGTGGGAAATCGGCAATGCTGTCAGTGTGGAAGTGGAGTTACCAAGAAACTCAAAAATCTATCAAGAATGACATTATCAATTCCACAAATAGCTCAAGCTCTCTTGGGCGTGGTTCAGTTCACTCATGTAGGGTATAATGTTACAGTATTCTTACTCAAAGTTGTTTTTGGCTTTTTATTTCTGTCACAACTACGGATTTAATTTAGCAGCATGGATGGGGTACGACCCTTAATTGTGAGGTGTTAAGCCACATTTGTAGGAGTCACATTTGTAGGAGTCACGGACTCAGGGTCAGATCCAGGAGTCACGGACTCAGAGTCAGAGCCAGGAGTCACGGAATCAGGGTCAAAGCCAGGAGTCACGGACTCAGGGTCAAAGCCAGGAGTCACGGACTCAGGGTCAGAGCCAGGAGTCACGGACTCAGGGTCAGAGCCAGGAGTCACGGACTCAGGGTCAGATCCAGGAGTCACGGACTCAGGGTCAGAGCCAGGAGTCACGGACTCAGGGTCAGAGCCAGGAGTTACGGACTCAGGGTCAAAGCCAGGTGTCACGGACTCAGGGTCAGAGCCAGGAGTCACGGACTCAGGGTCAGAGCCAGGAGTCACGGACTCAGGGTCAGATCCAGGAGTCACGGACTCAGGGTCAGAGCCAGGAGTCACGGACTCAGGGTCAGAGCCAGGAGTCACGGACTCAGGGTCAAAGCCAGGAGTCACGGACTCAGGGTCAGAGCCAGGAGTCACGGACTCAGGGTCAGAGCCAGGAGTCACGGACTCAGGGTCAGATCCAGGAGTCACGGACTCAGGGTCAGAGCCAGGAGTCACGGACTCAGGGTCAGAGCCAGGAGTCACGGACTCAGGGTCAGAGCCAGGAGTCACGGACTCAGATCCATCAAAATAACTACACAAAATAAGGACGTTTAAAGTTTCTGTTGGCCTTCATGTTGTTATCCCGGCTGCGGCCGTGGAAGAATCGCTTATATCGATTGTGAGAAAATGGCTTTAAAACGATAGAAAAAGTATCGCAACACAAGCATTTGTCTAATTTCAAAATAAAGCAAGAGTATAAAAGACACTCACTCCTTTCATAATATCACCTTTATGTAAAGATGTCACGAAAGAGACTAAAGAGCACTTTGGTCTATTGACAATGTGATGACTATTTGAACCGGACGCGGACATATTATTTCGACAATGAATATCACAGACTTGATTGCGCCTCAATACAATAAGAATTGATCTTTATTCAATTTGCTTGCTAATGTTGCCAGGTTTGTGATATTATCATTAGTATTGCTGTCGTGACGTAGTTTACCCTATTATGTCCTATGTTGAAATTACATAGCATGTTTTAATTATTACACATCATGTAGACGAAAGTCAAAACTTATGTCGTTTTGACCAAACATGGGTCCATGTTACGATAATGTCGGTCAGAGATAATAATCCACTACAATCTAGAACTTTTGATAGCTCTAAACGAAATTTTCATACTTCTTAATCATTAAGATTGTATGGAGACAATTAAGACGGCACAACTTTAACTTTATCGATAAAAGATATGCAAATACAGAAACTGTTCATACAATTGAAACATATATAATGCAAATTTCCAGTATGTATAATTATATAATGTATTCCCTATGTTATAATAATTCTGGGTACCTAAGAAAAATAACATTAACATTAAGAGCACAGCTAGCGTTACGATGTTGTGGTGCATCACCACTGCTGTAGTGAAATACAGCGGGAGTTGGGCCACTGCTGTAGTGAAATACAGCGGGAGTTGGGCCACTGCTGTAGTGAAATACATCGGGAGTTGGGCCACTGCTGTAGTGAAATACAGCGGGAGTTGGGCCACTGCTGTAGTGAAACTTTCATTAGTTTAACAAAAACTTTCACTTCCCCGATATTTCCCACATTGTTCCTGCTGATTCATGAAGATGCTAGGATAGCCCTACTCTGAAAACCACACAGCTTCTGTGGTCTTGTTACCGGTGGACATTTCAATGAAAAATTGAGAGATTCTCGTAGTTCATCAGCTGTTGTTTCTTCTTTCGTAATCTCCAATGCTTGGTAGAAATCTGCTATTCTCCCCCGTGAACTGTAAGTATGGGCTCTGAAATTATATAACTTTGTGAAGTTTACTTGAATTACAAAATAAAGTTTAATATCTTAAAATAAAGTTTACATACTATAGAGTTAAGAGTAGCAGATATAGCATATATATGTACATATATATATATGATATCTATACTATATTTTAAACTTGACGAAATTTCCCCGGCAACGGGGACATAGAAGAAAAAACACCGAAAATCGACCTCAAAATGACCCTCTGGTGAAGCCAAACCCAGCTCGCAAATGGAGTTGAAACCTCGCCATTTTTAGCAGGGTTGTAGAAAAAGGATAGGAATAGGCTATAGCATTCTTAGAATTTTGATTTAGGCTTTAGATTTTTTATAATTAACGTCGGAAGTGAGGTTAAATAATCGTTAGAATAATGGCGTTATTTTAGCAAAGGTTTACTGCGCTGTTGCGTAGCAACGATAAAAATGCACGTGCGCGAGCAAGAACATCTTAACTACGCGCGTTGTTATGCTGTATGCTACGTCATAACTTCAAAACTAGCTCACATTTACGCTCACGCTATGACTTATATTCAT